TCTAAAGGGATCTCCAGAGTTATAGGGGTTTTGCTAACAGTTTCTTTTATGGTAAGTTTTGTGCAGGTTTTGGTATGTGTTCTTTAATGCTTTTTGTATGTTTTAGGGCTTAGGGTTTAGGGTTTAGGCTTTGCCCTCTACCTTTACCTTACCGGTCTAAGAACTCGTTCTATTCAGGCTTTTGGCCTCAAGGACCTTGCTGCAGACTGTTGTTCGTGTTCTTTGTTTAGCCCAGGGCTGATCTAAGAGCCTGATGTTTTTTCTTTTCCTGAGGGTTCCTTATTATAGTTGCAATATGCTTTTCTGCCATGATACACTTAGAAAACCCAATATTTAAGGCCCCTATATGGGGGTTTCCGAAAATAAGGGACCCTGATTTTGTACACTAAATAGTAGGAGCCTTATTATAAGAACCCCCAAATTAGGTACCCCCTATTTTCGGAAACTCCCATATCTATTATTGGCATGATTTCAGGCTTGCAGTGAGCCTTTGGCCTAAGGCCTATGGGCGTGTGTTCGGGATTTCAAGAGTCAGTCGATCGGCTGCTTGTGATATAGAAGCCCCAAGGGCCCAAAGTACCTTTAGGGTTCCTTTTAAAGGGTTCCTTCCCAAAGGGTCCACAGTACCTTTATAGTAGAATGTAGGGTTTCTATATTAGGAATTGTGATTATGATTTGGGGAAGTATCCCCCATAACAGTAGCTAGGACCCTTTGGGAGAAGGTTTTCGGGTTTTAGGTTTGGGGCTTTAGATCTCGGGTTGAGTCTTTAGGGTTTTTGAGGTTTTGGCGCTTTTAGGGTTTTGGGCTGCAGCTTGAATCGTCACGAAATGGTACCCAAATTCCGTTATTTTGCCGTTTGTGTCGTGGTCGTAGCAGAACATTTGTGCATTTGGGCAAGCGCAAATGCGACCCGCCCGCCAAGACAAGGCTGGCCCTCATGGAGGAGCTAGCCGTGGCCAAGAACACGAAGCGGCAAGGCAGACAACAAATCATGAAATCTTGCGGAGTCAGTGAAACCTTCTGCCTGAACTTGCAGAGGTCGGCAAAAGTCAAAGATTTCCTTGCCAAAACTGGGAAAGGCAACACTGCAAGACAACCAGGCAGTCACTTGGGCTTGGTGCACATGGTGAGCAAGTCAGCAGGCAGGAGGTTGCCAGCGAAAGCCAAGACGCCGGGCAGGACGGACTACCTCCGGCCGTCTGGATGGAGACCAGGGCATGGGCTCTGACAGAGTAAGCCAGCCAGCATGTTCTGACGAGTTCCGATGTACTGCTGGACCTCCAAGACATGTACCTCTACTTTTCCACGTGTTGTGTTTTTCGTTTCGTGGTTATAGCAGAATAAGCTCCAAGACAGCATTGTGTCATGGGACATACTCCAAGACATCATTCACATCACCCACATCCCTATTTTGCACTTCAACTTCTGGCAGCTAGTATCCCCGTATAGCATTGTAGTCCCTGTCGCAGCTATGGTATAAAGAACCCTAAACCCCTAAGCTCCTAATCTAACGATCAAAGCGCCTCCTTGGAGAATCGTGAAATTGAGTAAGGAAGGTCATAAGTACCTTAATGGGGTCTACGCAGGCTTTGGGGTTTAGGGGTTTACGGGTTTAGGAGTTCAGGGTTCAGGGCAGGGGAGTAATGGGGTCATAAGTATCTTAATTGGGTTATGAGCAACTGCGAGTACGTGTACCTTCTCCAGAGCTGCCTTTTTGTAGGGTCTCTTTTACTTCTATATTGGGGTGTATACTAATGAGAACCTACAGGCAAATAGGTTTTTGCCATGCTCCTTTAAGTATAGTACACTTCCCGAGGTTCGGGCGCGCAGGGCTGCGACGCCTGCACCAACAAGTCGAGCGAGAAGCCGTTTTGGACGACTACCAGGCATCTCAAACCCCTAACCCGCTTAGACCCCCCAACTACTATAGGGGCCTTAATAATTACCAATACCATTGCGGAGCTTCCTTCTTATAAGTATAGTTTACAATGGGCCCCAAAACCCTATTCTAATTATCAAGGCCCCTATATCATATACCCCTATTATAGATGCCTTTTCGAACCCTCTAAGGAACCTTTTAAAGGAGCCCTGTTCTAATTTTTAAGGCCCCTATATTACCCTCTAATCTACCGACTGTGGAGGACCATAAGGGCTCCATGACAGGGCCGTGGGGGGTCCTGGCATACCACAAACCGCAAACCCTAAACCTTAACCCTAAGCCCCACACCCTAAGCCCTATAGATCCCTTATAGAACCCTTTATAGATCCTTAAAGTTTGGGAGGGTCCTGGCTTCTGCTTGAACTCGCAAAAACATACCGTTTTGGTACGCTGCCCACGAGATCTGAACCTGAGGATCCCTACACCTTTATAACCACGATCTGTGCAGAGGGAATGGTGATGTTGAGGAAGGTTGAGGTGTTTCTATGTAGTTTCTGGTGTCAGGGTTTGGGGTTACGGGCTTTGGGAAGACAAGTCATTCGAGCCCTCAAGCCTACTGCCACGCCTCGTATCAATACCACTGATTCGGGCAAATGTTTGACAAGAACTTTGCCAGCATACATCCTTCAAGCCTCGAACCCTAAACCCTAAACCGTCAAGTTCCGAGCTCGAAACCCCTGAACCCGCAAACCATGAAGAAACCATTTAGTCCCATTAAACTGTAGAAGCCTGGTGATTACTTACCGGCTGTAAACTCAACTTTTCAACTTTTAGGGTTCTTGTAAGGTAGCCGATTCTGAAAGTGTCAACTATTATTTCCTTGGGTTTTGGGCCCGTGAGTTAGTCCCATTATGATGTATAAGCCTGGTGACTAATTATGAGCAACCAGGAAGCTCCTCATATACTACCATTATGGTATAAGGTCCCAAAAGCCATCCTTGTTCTGGTTTTAGGGAACTAATTTTTATTATGGTTTTAGGGAACTAATTTTTATTATGGTTTTAGGGAACTAATTTTATTATGGTTTTAGGGAACTAATTTTTATTATGGTTTTAGGGAACTAATTCCATAAGGGAGTTTCAGAAAATAGGGGACCTCAATATGGTACCCTAAATGGGTGGATCCTTCTTTTGAGGACCCCAAAATAGGGTACCCCTAATTTTCGGAAACTCCCATAATGGTAGTATATGAGGAGCCTCTAGGCAACTTGGTATTACCAATCCTGAGGGCTCCCTTGTAAGATTACGTACACACGATTACAGCCCATGACACTAGCCTATTTTCAAGGTTAAGGCCATACACTAAGCCCTAAAGCCCGTACTGTAGGGGCCTTAAACTCCTCACTGTAGGGGCCTTAATAGTTAGACTTGGGTTTTTTGGTAGATTAATAAAGCCCTAAACCCCAAACCCTAAACTACAACTGAAATACTGAACATAATGGTTCAGGCCCCTAAATGCTAGACAAAAAGAACCCTGACTTGTTGGTTCAGGGGTTTCATCAAGTCCATACATACATACATGTACATACATACAAAAATACATACGAAAATAAGTGGGGTTACAAGCGAGGTAACTATAAGTATAACCCATATCAGGGGACTTGTAACTCCACTTCTAACTACCCTAAACCCAACCCTAACCCTAAACCCTCGAGAATTCCTACGGAACCCTTAAAGGAACCCACCCTTCAAGGAACCCTGAACCCATGAACCTCCAAGTAGTAGCCATCTTGGATCCCTACTTACAGGACCATGGGACTTAGTAACTAAGGTTTAGGGTAACTATACTTATAACCCGAATTAAAGTACTTAGAACCTTACTTACTAAGTCCCATGATCTTCCAAGTAAGCTGAGCGCCTTTACGCGTGACAGGTTTCTCGCCAGCCGAGGCACTGCGTGCGGCTTGTGGATTTGGGTTCAGGGCTTTGGGTGAATATATACGGGCAGAAATAAGTACCTATACTATTATGGGGGCTCCTTATCTTAATTATGGTTTATGGGCCCCAAACCATATTCTAATCATTACCTAGACCCACAAAAGTAGGTAACATAATGACCCAAAGCCTATAAAAGGCTGTTATTCTAAATACTTTCGGCGCCCAGGTAATGCCTCTATATTAGAGGTTTTGGGTTTAGGGATTTGTGGCATAGGAGTGCCATGCGGGATTCTATGAGGGGTTCTACAAGATGAGAGGAGGCTTTGGGGATCCAAAAAGGACATAAGCATAAGCATGTTATAGGGATATCCCTACCTTATCGGGCTTTATTATAAGGGGGTTTATATATGGGATATCCCTATCCTAGTTAGTTTTTGCTTATGTACCTTTTTGGGCTTTGGGGTCAAGGGCTTGAGGTTGGGAGTTCAGGTCTTATGGTCTGCGGTTCAAGGCTTTGGGTTTGGGGTTTACCTTCAACTGCCCTAGACTGCTTCTTTCGTAGTTTGTATGTTCAAAACTTAAACAAAATTGGGGTAGCTTTTTTATAGGGACCGTACAGACTAGTAAGTTTCGGCAGCTTAAGGTAGGGGCATAGTGGGTATGGCTCCAAACCATGGCGTAGAACCTCCTGACCCAGTATGGTTAAGGGTTTAGGGGTTAGGAAGTTCTTTGTCAAGGAGAGGGCATTCGGAATGCAGGCTCCTCTGATCATGGCTTTAAAAGATCGGGTTTTATGACGCTTTTGGCACCCCAGTCAGAAAGCGGCAAATCTCCGGGACTACATGAATAAAAGTGTATTTATACGATTGATGATATGAATCCTGCAGTACCCATAAGGGATATACCATAATTCCCATAGTTTGGGGCCCTAAAGGTAATGCAGGGTATATATCATCAACAGTATCATACAGCGGGAGTCTGATTTTGGGCATGTTCCTGAGTGAAAGTGTTTTGGAGCCTTCGGGTATCCCAACGAGATCTTACTTAGCAGCAGTGAAAACGCCTTATTCGAGCTCCACATTGGCTCGATTCCTTGTGGACCTGTGTTCTGCATTTCTGGATTGGCCCGTCCGCTGAGTTGGGTTGTGGCGCAAAGTTCGTCCCTCGGATGAGGGGAGAATCTATGGTGCTGGAATTCCCTGGGGGACGAGGACAGACACTGGCAATGATGGCCGACCTGATGCCGGAGATCCTCGACGACGAGGTCAAGAAGAACAAAACTATGTGGTACGTATCAGGGGCTGGACGCCATGAACCCGGAGCAACTTTACGACCTTGTGCCGATCATTGTCCCGAAGGTCTATGCCGTGCCACGGTGCCAGCAGATGGGGCGCTTCCCCTCGGATGAGCATGTGGAGCAGGTCTGGCATGTCTGAATAAGTCTAAATAATCGCTCGTACAATACCCATACCAATCCTATCCCTACAAACTCTATTCACCTTTATGCTTGACACACCCCCAAACCACTACAACGTTAAGTGTACAGTTTAGAGCCCAAAACCCAAGCCCCAAACCGCGACCGCTACACCGTTAAGCCTAGAGCCTAAACCCGGAACCCCGAAGTAGGTGGACTCCTAAACCATAAAACCCTTACCCTACACCCCTAAACCCCCTAAGCACTAAACCCCCTAGCCCTAAACCCCTAAAGCCCTAAACCCCTCAACCCCTAAACCCTCGGTGTCCCCGAAGTATCCCGCGAGGTGAGTGGATACCCACGCAAGAACCCTGAACCCTACACCGGCGAGGTGAGTGGATACCCACACAAGGAGCTGTTTCATCTAGCCGTCTCCTCGGATCTCGAAAGCTTAGGACCTCTCATTTCAGGAATGCACCTTAAGGGTCACCTTACATGAGATCTACAGAAGTTCCTGCAAGGTTGATATATATATATATATATATACATATATATACACATATATCTCGATGTATATATATATATATATATATATATATTCGGACCTAAACGACTAAAGTATTAACTATATGGGCTCATGGACCCTTATTCCCAAAGCCCTGATGCCCTGTTTTTTTTGCTCTATCCTTTAGGACCGTCTGAGGGAACGAACATGCCTGTCCCGTGACGTTTTTTGTTCCGAATCGCGCAAGTTTTGAACCCTTCAAGAGTTCCTTTTAAGAGTTTCTTTTAGGTTTCCCGTAAGAGTTCGTGTAAGGGTTCAAATTTAGGGAGTTCCTTGAAGAGTTCCTTCAAGAGTTCTTATAAACATGTGCATTAAGAGTTCTTTTAGGTTTAAGACTTCCTTTAAAGGTTCCTTCAAGGGTTCCTGTAAAGGTTTCAGGAATAGTCAGACTGTAGCTGTAGTTCACAACAAATTCAGACACCAGCCTTGGCTAATAATTCCATTGAGGGTCTTGGATAGCTGTGAAGGCATTTCATGTGTGATCTATGGTTTATTATCAAGGGGTTTTTAGAGGTTTAGCATACCTTCTACGGAGAGTAGTTATGGTTCTTCATCCTGCAAACCTGGGACCTTGTACCGTATACCCCACCTCGAAAAGAACAAGACCCCTTCTCCAAGCGGAACGTACTGCAGCGCCTAATCCTTCTAAGCACAAACCTTAAACCCAGGCACCCCCGAACTCATACAGTTGTGAGGTCTCCTCAAATGTCAAATTCTTCATCCGTTACTATGACCAATCCTTGATAGAAGCCTGAACCTGAAAACGCCCATCTTACTTAGACCCCCCAACTACCCTCCAATGTACCCTGATTACCCAGTATAAAGGACCACAAGGACTCCATTAACGGGCCTTTGGGGGGTCCTGGTATACCATAAACCGCAAACCCTAAACCTTAATCCTAAGCCCCAAACCCTAAGCCCTGTAGATCCCTTATAGGACCCTTTACAGGTCCTCAAAGGGGGTCTTTTAACCTGAAAAACCCACCTTACATGATGGCCTCCAAGGTTTCTGCAGCTGCGTCGAAGGTTTTGCACTCCATTCTGGAAGCTGCCATCGCTACTGGGCGCGTCTTCATGAAGTGGGTTGCCGAAAGGTTGAGTCGCCCTAAGTCTAGGTTTTGGGGTTCAAGGATTTTGGGTCATAGTGCCCTTTTACTAAACTATGAAGGATTTGGGGTTTAGGGGTTTCGTGTCATAGTAGTTACCCTCAGACTGAACTTGTATTTGGTGTATAGGGTTTAGGGCTTATAGGGACTTTGGATGACAATAAACCCGAAACCCTAAACCGCCCCTACCTGTACTAGGCTTCAGTTCTCTGGGGATGGCATTCAGGCTTGGGGTCACTTAGAGGATCATGGGACTTAGTAAATAGGTTATAATTGGGGTTATAAGTCCCCTAAGTGGGGTTATCCTAACCCAGAGGGTCCAAGTACTCCCTATTATAGGACTTTAGGGCCATTTTAGGTACCAAAAACCATAAATAGGAGCTACTTGGACCCTTAGGGTAATTATAACCTACTTATAACCTTACTTACTAAGTCCCGTGAGCCTTCAAGCAGGGATCAAGATGAGAGAGCTTCGGGGTGTTTATTGCGTGCATTGATAGGTCAGAGAGGCATGAGATGTTAAGTCCCTAGGTTTCGAGGTTTAAGGTTTAGGGTTTAGGTTTTGGGGTTTAGGGTTTAGGGTTTAGGGTTTGGGTTAGGGTTTAGGGTTTAGGGTTTAAAACCCTAAGCTCTTGAGTCATAAGCCTGAATGTCCCCCGTGAAAGCATTTCGTCCCTGTTTGCGGCTCCCCCTTGGAAGGAGGTTCCTTAGACCCCCCAACTATCCTCCATGATACCCAACGTACCCACTTTTGAGGACCATCAGGCCACAAGGGCTCTATGTTCGGGAGTCCTGGTAAAGGTTTCTTCACTATATGAACATAGGGAAAACGAGTGCTAGGCTCCGGGTCGCGTTCTGCTACCAAAGAAGGGGCAGCTCGGGGCTGGCATGGATATTTTGGTCTCTTCTATATGATATTGCGACATAAAAAATGGAACGGAGCAGATCATCATCTACTATCGTACAGTCCGCTACACTATAGGACCTTGTTGAATCTGATCAGTTAGGTTGCCGGCACGGGCTGGGTGTGTGTTCTAGACTGCAACACCCGTACACCCTGAGGCTCTGAGGGGTTGCCCAAAGACCATAATTTTGGAACCTTGGGTCTATAGGGTTTGGGGTTTAGGGGTTTAGGGGTTTAGGGTTTAGGGATTTAGGGTTTAGGGTTTAGTATTGTACGAACCTGATCAAGAAACCCTGGGCCTATGACCCCAAAGTAGTAGGATGCATATAAAGAGCTCTAATACAGGCCCAAGGTTTCTTAATCAGGTTCCTACATGAGGTAAGTATTGATGCCCGAACCCTACTTGTTTCGAATTCCTTAGCAGACAAAGTTGTACCCCTAGCACAGACCCGGCGCCAGAGAGAGGGAAGTTCGTGGCTTATAGGGCTCATGAGTGAAGGACTTACGCTTATAGGTCTTTTGGGCTCCCTTTTAAGGCTCCTGATTAATTAGGCATGCAAACGTGACGCATTATTTGCGGTAGCGAGACGGGACCCTAAGTTAAGCTCACGCGCAGCGCAACTGCAGCATAGTGCGCACCGAGAGCGACGACCTCACGACGTCCTTGAAGAGCTTGGAGCAGCTATTCAAGTGTCGCAAGGGACGAGCCTTCTTGGAAGCCTGCGAGATATTGACGAAAGAGCGCACAGGGAACGTGCCACAGGAGAAGCTGGCGGATGCACTGCTATGCTGGCTCGGCTTCATGCGAGAAAACAAGATGCAGCTTGCCGCCGAATTGCCCAAGTACCTAGGATCCATGCAAGCTCTAGACTCTAGAAGCGACGACGATGTGCAATGCGCTGACCAACTGGTCGCAAAAGGTGCCCGTCACTGGCAGCAACCAAGAGGCCCTCGCGCACTGGCAAGCCATGCCCAACGACCTGCAGCGACTGAAAGCCTTCCTTTCTAGCCGCCATGCAGCTGAGCTGCGCCACACCGAAGGTGCTGCGTGGCCAGGGCAACGATAACATTCTGACAATCTAAACCGCTAGCCCTGCAGCCTAAAGCACGTGATTACTCAGAAGGGGCCCCCACCCTGTAATAGTGGTATAATTCATAGGAATATAATAGGGCCCTAATATATTCCTTATAGTCACTATTACAGGGTGGGGGGCAGCTTCTAACCCATAACCCTAAACCCTTGAATCCCAAGCCCCTGAACACGGAGCACTCGACCGCCTGAACCCTACCTGGACTCTGACAGAACCCAGAGCCCTTCTTAAAGGATCATGATGGGTCTTAGTAACCAGGGTTATAATGAGTGTAACTATACTTGTAACTACTTACAGCCCCAATTAAGGTACTTATAACCTTACTTACTAAGTCCCATGATCCTGCTCACACTTTGAGGCTGTCTCCCGGGGACGCGATGCCGGAACAACGAGGTCCGGTTGGAACCAGGCTCCGCCACTTCGACTTCTTTTGCTTGGGGTTTGGGCTTTACGAGGCTAGGGGAGGGTTTGAGGTATAAGGCATAGGTTTTCTAGTATAGAGGGCTTGAAGGGTGTGGGGTTTACGGTTTAGGGGTCTTGAGTTTTGGATTTGACGTGTGTAGCTTCGGCCTGCTCTTGAACTTCTACTGATCTTACAGTGCGGTCTACACATAAAATATTTGCGTGCCTTTACACTAGAGTATAGCGGTCGGGATTTACCGCCAAAGAAGCGCCCAAACATAACCTTTCGGGGTGGGATATCCCTATCTTACTTATTGGCTTCATTCAAGTGGGGATTCTGGGATATCCCAACCTTATGGTGTTTGTTTAGGTCCTTCTTCGGGTCCCTAGTAAAGGGTCTCCAATAAGACTGAGGAGTAGGAAGAAGGGCACCCTTGTCAGTAACAAGGCGTTTCTGGTAACAAACAGGTGACTAGGATGCCCAGTAGTACCCTTATTCCCTTTTTGTAGTCCTAGATTCCTTATAAAGTTACCCAATACCAAAAAGAGAGGCCTTTTTATTCTTAGGTTACTGGGTATCCTAGGTGAAATTCCTTAGTGCTGAAACCTGAAGGCCCCTATAGTAAGGGCCCAGATAAGGTTACGGGTTGAAGGTACTTAAAGGATCATGGGACTTAGTAACTAAGGTAACTATACTTATAAGTACTGATAACCCCAGTTAAGGTACTTATAACCTTACTTACTAAGTCCCATGAGCCTCCAAGTAGCGATGTGTGGACTTGTCAACCCTAGGTTGTGCGCTCAAAGCCCGTGATTTTCAGGGGCCCATGATACTATAGAAACAGAAAGAAGGACCCCCCCCAAATAGCATAGGTATCTATTAAGGCCCCTATATTAGGGCTCATATAGTTAAGGTCTGGGTTTAGGGTTTAGGGTTATACATATAGTTGAGGCCCGGGTTAGAGCTTTATTTCCGGGCTCTACTGACTCATATAGTAAGGCTTTTGGGCACAAAAACTACAATAAATACGGATTTGGTGCTATTTTGATTCCCCGGGTTTCCTGAGAAGTAGCTAGTCTATACATATAGCCAAGGCTTGTGTTAGAGCTCTATTTCCTGAGAAGTCTTTTTTGTTTCGAACCGTCGGGCTAAAACGGCTAAAACTGCTTCAACAGCAAGTCCTGCGGGAAGGTACCCCCGGTGATTCAACCCTGAACTTCATCATGTCGACATGGAATCCCTAAACCCCAAGCCCTGAGTTTGAGCTTCTCCTCATTATTAAAGCCGTAAGTTGAAACAAAGGGAATGCGCACCTTTATCGCATGTGTTGTTATGCCTTTTCGTGTCATGCATCATGCGCGTGTGTGTGTGTGTGTGTGTGTATCTATATCTATATACATATATTTGCCCGCTTCGAACAGAATATTGGCCGGGACCTCACAACCCTAGACCCTAATCCCTAAACCCCTAAACCCTAAACCTACACATAGCCAGTGCGGGTTGCCAAAGGCATCAGGCTGCCAGGACCTCGCAGCAAACCCTAAGGGTCCATGTACTCATATAGTATATACACTGGCATTAATGTAGTCCCTATGTGGGTACTTTGGGGCCCATGTATCTCTATATGGGTACATGGACCCTTAGGGAAAGTTCTGAAGCAGACATTTGCCGATCTTCCTACGCCCAAGCGCACCGTCACGAGGAAAGCGAGTTTCCTATGCGCTGCCCTGCATCAGTTCAGATACCGTTTGAAAAAGATGCACCTGTGATAGCCACCTTGCTCACGCCTTATGCTTGCAGCTATGACTGCTCAAGCTAGTCCTGCCAACGGTGCGCTGCACTGCCACGCTCTACCAGCCAGAGTCGATGCTCTTGAAAAAGGGTTGGTGGGGGTGGCAAAACCGGCGGCTGCAACAGCAAAAGGCCAGGGAAAGGAGAGCAGCTGCCAGCTGGACTGTGCTTTTGCTCGTAGCTCTTTCGTGAGCGGGTCCTGGACTTGCTTCGGGCGTGGGTCGCAGGGGCTGCAGCAGCTTCATGACGCCCCGCAGTGATTAGACGCATAGCATTGGACTCGCGCTCCAATGGCTGACCTGGCCGATTCACTTGCTCGTCTGGCTAAACACAATCAGGGCAGCCTGCCGTTACGTCCATCTTCCTGTGCTAACCAGGTGGGTGACAATGAATATGGGAGTTTCCGAAAATGGGGGACCTTAATATAGTACCCAAAATAGTAGGATCCTTTTTATAAGGACCCCCAAAACAAGGTACCCCCTAATTTTCGGAAACTCCCATAGGTCTGTCATTTGCTCCAAGCAGCCCCTACTCAACCCTCAACCTCCCAGCGCATTCCAGGAAAGCTCTTCAAATTCACCTTCAGGACGCCATGATATCTTAAACCAACCAACCTCCTTGACAAAAACCCGCAACTACCCTCTGGTACCACAAATTTCCGCTTTTGAGGATCAATTTGGGCTCTATTAAAAGGCCACTGGGGGGATCCTCGTAACAAGGGCCCTAAATCCTCAAGCCCTAAACCCTTACATAAACCCTAAACCCTAACCCTCAAGCCCTAAACCGTAAACCTCTACATAGACCCCTAAACCCTTAAACCCTAAACTTACATAAACCCTAAACCTTCAAGCCCTAAACCCTAAACCTAGAAGGGATGTGATCAGGTTATTGGAGCTTAGTAAGTAAGGTTATAAGTACCATAATTGGGGTTATCAGTAGGTATAAGCACAGTTACCTTAATTATCACCCTAATTACCAAGTCCCATGATCCTTTAAGTAGACCCTAAACCCTAAACCCCATACATCCCTTTAAGGAACCCCTATAGATCCCTTTTTAAGGAGCCCCTTTAAAGAACCCTAGTTACTAAAGTGATCAGGTTATTGGAGCCCCGGCTCCTCTCCCTTGCTCGTCTTCCGCTGCAGCGACCTGTCTGGAAACTTCGCCTCGAGGGACTACTTAAAGGATCATGGGACTTAGGAACTAAGGGTTCCTGAAAAGGGGGTCCTTAAAGGGATCTATAGAGTTCCTTAGAGGGATCTATAGGCACTTAAAGAACCCGGTACCTGACCCTGATTGGATCCCTGAAAACCCTGCCTTTTTGAAGACATATACATATGGAAGTCAGAAGGAGCTCTTAAATCGAAGGCCTAAACCCCACGAACCGCCTCCCGTGGGCCTGCCTGAATTGTCAATGTTCTCCTTCAGGGTTCCTTATTGTAATGATACACTCTATTACAGGTTTCTTGCGAAAGTTGGGGTCTCATGTAGTGGTCCCTGCAACAAGAATCCGATTCCTGTCGGAATTGGCTTGCAATACCTTAGGGATCAGGATGTACCTTATTAACACCAAGTATCTTGCCTTTTCAAGGACTTGTGTGACTTGTTTATGGAGATCACGACTGGGAAGCCTGAACAGGTAGGCGTTATAAGGCTAGGGTTTAGGTGTTTTGTATGGCCATCGCCGCAGCCGTACAGAGCTTGGGGTTTAGCTTCGATGCATCTTTTGCAATCGTTTATAAGGCTGCAGACTCCAGACCAATGGCGATGTAAATGTAGACCATGAACATCCTGGTACCTTGGACCCTGAAAACTCGCGACATCATCGCAAATGCAGGTCTTTTCATTGCCACATATAGACCTCATTCTCGTAAATCAAGACTTGTGCGGCATATCCCTTAGTAGTATGGGGCCCCCCAAGGTCACCCCCACGTCCAAATCCTTTACCCTCCCAGCTAAACGCTGAAGACTCCTGATCTTTTAAGCAGGCTGTTGCCGAAGCACAGCACCCTAATAGCCGCAAAGTAGATACTTGGGCTCTCAACCGGTTCCTGAACAGATACTGTAAAGCCGAAGTATATACTATATAGGCACATGGAGGCTTAGGGTGGCAGGAGTTGGATGCATGGCATGGTCACGATGCTGTAGCTCTTGACTGTCAGCGGACATAGAAAACTTACCGGAGCCCTTCCTTGCAAGACCCTGGAAGGAACCCATAAAGAAACCGTATAGGAATCCCGTATTAAACCTGCCCCTCAAAGGAATCTCTCAAAGAAGCCCCTCGAAGGAACCCCTTGAGGGAAACCCTGAGCCTAAACTTTGTAAGTCAAAGCTCGCGAAGTCAACCCTAAACCCCAAACTCCTATAAACCCCAAAGCCCAACTCCCACATCCTCAACCCCAACCCTAACCCACCCTAACCCTAAACACAACCCTAAACCCCAAACCCAGAGATCCGGGGATACAGGCAAACCCTGAAACCCGCAGCCCTTCGAAATAACCCCTTCAAGGAACCTCCCTCACTCAAAAGACTTTGAACCTCTAAACGATAAGCCCATTAAAGGAACCCGAAACCCTAAAAGCCTAAACCCCAAACCCAACAAAGGAACCCCTTACAGAAGCCTCCCGTATGCTGTAGCTACAATAAGAACCCCGAAAATAGTATAGGAACCTCCCTGAGGTAGCCTAGACCCTGTACATCCCTAAACCCTAAAACCCTCACCCACCCTAACCCCAAACGCAACGCTAAACCCTAAACCCAGAGATTCGAAACTCCAAACCCTGAAACCTTTTGGAGGAACCTCCCTGACCCTAGTATAGTACCCTAAACAGTAGGATCCTTACTAAAAGAGCCCAATAAGGTATCCCTCATTTTCGGAAACTCCCAAAACCCTGTTCTGCTAGTTTAAGGGTTCCGCGTAATTAGGGACTATTGGGCCCCAATTAACCCTATTCTAAGGACCCAAAAAGGCACATAAGCATAAGCATTTTGTGGGGATATCCCTACCTTATGGGCTTCCTTTTAAAGGGGGTTTATATGGGACATCCCTATCCTTATTTTTGCTTATGTGCTTTTTTGGGGCCCTATATTCTGAAGGAACCTCCCTGAGGTGTGACCGACCGCTGCCCCGGCGGAGAGCCTGGCACTTGCCGGCAAGGTCGGGATCCGGACTCCGTGGACCCTCGGCTAAACCAGGCTTCCCTTACTTAAAGGATCATGGGACTTAGTAACTAGGGTTATAATTAGGGTAACTATACTCATAAGTATTTGTAACCCAAATTAAGGTACTTATAACCTTACTTACTAAGTCCCATGATCCTCCCAGTAAACCAGGCTTCCCTGAAAGGTTTAGGGTTTAGGGGTTTAGGGTTTGGGGTTTTCATGGTTTAGGGTATGGGGGTTTAGGGTTTAGGGCACTCAAGAGCTCCTTTAAGGGCACGAATAAGAGGATTTTACGGTATTGCTGTTCCTGTAAGGGCAGTATAGGGTTTAGGGTTTGGAGTTTTGGGGGTTTCGGATTTTAGGGGTTTGGGTTTTAGGGTTCGGGGTTTGGGGTTTAAGGGTGCAGGGTTTTACGGGTTCACGACTTTTGCGGTTTGGGGTTTGCATCAAAGCTTTCGATTATTGTGGATGTTTTCCGGTCGGTTTTCAGGACGTTTCTGTACTCTTGAAGCTGTGGGGGCAAAACATCAAGCTTTTAGGAGTGCTTCGGAAGTCAGTCCGAATCCTGAAGTGTTGAATATCAGGTGGTAGTAGCGAGTGGTCCTTCGCTTGGATTCAGAGCTCAGGGTTTAGGGCTTAGGCTTTAGGGCTAAGGGCCTTTTGGAATCTCTAAGACGTTCAGGACTTTCAGCTTGACGATTCAATGCTGCTGGATGTGGTCCTTTGAGACGGCCAGCACGAGGGCCAGAAAGTATGATAAGACCTGAACTCGGCCTTGACCCATAAGAGTTGGACATAGGAGACAAATAAGCCATCAACCCTAAACCCACAAGAGCCAGAACACGTGGAACGCAAGCTCTTCAAATGGCAACACCCGAGGCATGCTTCCGTTGCATGCCTGGCTTGCACGATTCTTCAGGCTCTCGCGCGAGCGGGGGCGCGCTACGGTGGTTTAGGGATCCAAATCGAGGCTTCTACGGTTGAGACTCTGACTTCAGGGAGAGTTTTCTGGTTGAAGTCGAGCTTAATAGTTAAGGGTTTCTAGCGCCTCAGGTGTGAGAATTTGAATTTGGGGGTGGTCCAGGGGTCCGGGACTGCTAGTATTGTCTGCAGATTGCTAATGGGGTTCTATCTTCAACATTGTGGGAGGTCTATGGTAGAAGTCCAAAAGTTGGAAACCCAATAGCTTCAATCCTTAAGAGTAATGTATAGGGAATCCCAGCACTATTTGGCCTTAATTCGGTTTCCAACTTTATGGATTTTACCGTACGGGGAAAGCCTAGTGGTTTAGGGTTTTGGGTTGGCAGCCGTTGAGGGTCCAAGGACCCATATGTCTGTACTCGGGCCCGAAACTACCCACATAGGGCTACACCTAGTAGTAGAGTAGGTAACCTTTATCCTTTTTTGGGTAGTATAGTCCCTTTGTAATCCTTGTATAAGCAATCAGACTAACTAACCTTCAGTTCCCTATGATACCCGACAAGTAGGTACATTAAGGCCAAAGTACATAGATGCATTATTGTATAGGGGCACATGGACCCTGACACAAACCCTCCCAAAACCCTAAAGCATGTTAGAGATCCTATTAGAATATAATTAAGGTATAATCCTCACTTCAAGTATATCGTCAGGCCCGCGAGTCTAGTCTTAGGGAGTGTTTTGTGTTTATACCTGTACCCTGCAGAATCTACCTTTTTGGGGCTCCTTTTTTATGATTTCCTCGTATAAGTCTTCGACAAGGTAGGTTATTCAGGGTACAGGTAGGGTTTAGAGCAAAAAATAATTAAGGTTTAGGTTGATGATTTGGGCTTTAGTTTGGGTTCCGTATTTTATGGGGCTGAAGCTTCAGTTGAGGTCCCGGTTTCCAAAGGGGCCGATGCAGGTTTATAGGAATTGTTTTGCATTAGTTGTTCAGTTATGCTTCAAAGGGCGCCCACGTCTGTAACTCTTGTAACAGACTGTATATTCCAACTCCAGAAACCCACCTGTGGCCTCAACCACTAAAATAGTTTATGATTCTGATACCTCAGGCTCTCGATTAGCTTATTTGGGAATGTAAAGGCGCGTCCAGGCTCACTAGACCTGGTGCTTGAGGGATCGCTACTTTTGATGAACACAATCCTGTGGGTTTGGGGTATAATCAATATGTACGGAGTGGATGTCATGGGTTCAGAATTGTTCGGGATTTCGCGGATAGCATGCTGCTGCCGCGCACAGGCACCTGCAGACACTGTGGCGTGCAGGAGTATGCTTGGGTCGTAGCCTGCATGATGCCTCTTAGCTGCAGAGAGGCACTTGCAGGCTCCGGCGACCCGAGTAATGTGATGGTTCTTACTGCTAGAAACAGGATTCTTTGGGCTTTTCAAGGGTTCTGTAAGAGTTTGTAGGGTTCTGGGTTAACAGGCCAGATGATGAAGCTTGTCCTGTAAACCAGCACAGTCCAATACCCAGCAGCTGTCTACAGTGTCTACAGCAAGCTGTTAAGTGGGTCCAAGAATTCCCAACTTCCATGTCCCTGGGTCCCAAAGTCTGTGCAATTTGAGCATTTGGAGCCTTACAGGCCACGATTCGTTCATGGCAGTTTCCGAAAATAAGGGATCCTAATATGGTACCTTGAATAGTAGGCTCCTTATTATAAGGACCCCAAAATAAGGTACCCCTAATTTCGACACTCTAAACCCTTTTAGAGCAGCGGCCGCGACTTCGTAGATCACCTTTGTAGACACACACCCGTAGAACCTTCATTTTGAAAGTTGACCCTGCGTTAGGCGCTAAACCCCAAAGCCTTAACCCCAACACCCTTACAAAAAAAACGCAAAGTAGAAATTTGACCCTGTATTTGGCCGTAAATTCCACAGCCTTAAGGCCAACACTCTCACAAAACCGAAGAGCCAATGTGAATCCGGGCTCTTTGCAAGGCTGTGTGTCCTTGGTCTGATGGCGCTCTATGCGGTCGGGGGCTAATTTATTTATGGGGTTTATAACTTATAACACTGAGGGTTCATGTACCCAAAACCTTGGCCCCAAAGTACCGATATAGGGACTACGTACTTTTAAGGTCACTGTATATACTATTTGGGTACCTGAAACCTCAGGGTAGTACGGGTTTGGGTTGAGGGTCCGAGGCAGCTGCAGCTCAGGTTTTTAAATAGGTAGGGCTGTACAATGGCTCTATAAGCGCTCTAGCCCCTCAGCGTAACAAGGGTTATAGAATCATACATAGGTAGGGCTGTACAATGCTACTATAAGCGCTCTTGGGTGCCCTCAGCGTAAATAAGAGGTTATAGAGTCATAGGATGGTTTGTTGAGGTTTCGTAGTGGCGGGTTTACAGTTTAGGCTTTGGCTTTGGAGTTTTAGTGGTTTCGTGTTCAGGACTATGCAACCTTCAAGGTCCAAGTAGTTGTACAGAGTATTTACACTCACCGTACAAACAACTGTAATTATAGGGCATGTAGGGGCAATGAATACACTAACTGCATGGGGTACACGGATCCTTGGGTGAAGGTTTCAGACATGTTTTACAAGGGTCTGTATATGTGGTCTTGTTTTGAGTTAGCGTCTTCCGGGCTCAGGGATCAGTTGTTGATGCTTTTCTCTTGGGGGGGTTTAGTCTTCGGATATGTCGAGATTTACTGGGGTCGTGCAAGGTATAGGGCGAGGAGGCATAGTAGGTGAAAGACCGCCGTTCCATAGATAGCAGATGCGAAGGTTTATCTGTAGGTGTGTGATTAGAGAGGGGATCTAGGATCGACTTGCTGAGTGTTTAAGGCCCCCCCTCTGCAGATTAGGGTTTAGGGCTTAGGGTTTAGGGGTTTAAGGTTTAGGGTTTGGGGCTTAGGGTTTAGGTTTTAGGGTTCGGGCAGCAAAATGGGCATCCCACAAGAAAATTTGATCCCTTGGCATGCGACGATCCATTCAAAGAACTCCCTTGGAGAGAGGCGTTCTGGAAAGCTCAGGGGCCCAGCGGGAACTAAGAATAATGATTACCTAAACCCCCCAACGTAGGTAAAATAATGGCCCTATACCTATAAAAGGCTATAATTCTACCTACTTTTGGGGTCCAGGTATGACTCTTGAAGACTGGCCTGAAAGCAAGGCTGCCATGGAGTGTATTCCTTGCTATCTCAACAGGAGTAGTACGGCGCTTTGTGCTTGCAGATCAGATACCCGGAGGCTCCCCATATACTACCATGATCCTATTTTGGGGAGTACTTGGACCCACTGGGTATGGTATTAGGTCCCAGGAAGCCATCCTTATTTCGGTTTTAGGGACTTAATTCCATAATTGTACGTAGTATATGAGGAGCCTCTAGGAAACTCACCGTGCTGTCTCAAAGAGAAGTTCACGATGAAGGGAACGAAACCCTATATGCTGGATTTTCACAGACGGAAGCTTAAGAAAGTCCTTATGTAAATCACCCCAAAGCCGTGAGGCCTCAGATCTTGTACCGTGGCCCCCCTGAACCCAATTTAATTCAAGCAGGCAGCAAGCCTCAAAGCCTTTATAACGGTTGTTCTCTTGTTTAAACCTCCCTCTCAGGAGCAATTGCTGGGGTCCCTTCTTTAACCGCAAAGCTTGTGGGACTCCCTTTTGGTGTGCTTATTCGGGTCCTTCTTAAGCACTCACAGTGTGACCTTCGCTCGAGGTGAACCTCGCCGCGCGCGATGTAAGACAAGCCGGTCCAGGCGGGCGGGATTCAACAGCGGGGTGTAGGTGATACAGCGGGGTTTAGAGTATATGCGAGTTCCTTCAATGGCAAGGAAATTGTAATCGATAAGGTGTCTTTCATATGGAGTAGATCTCTTCTGAAGGGTTCTACCAGGCGCAAAATTACGGACTTCTTGAGGACATCATCAGAGTTCCATTACATGGGATGCTATGGCTCGGGGTTTTGCGAGTTTAGGGTTTAGGGTTTAGGGTTTAGGGGTTTGATAAGACTTCCAAAGGGGTTTCTAGGGTTTCAGAGGTTTTTGCTGGGTTTCTCATAGGGTTGCTGTTCGGGTTCACGGGTTTAGGGTTTAGTTTCAGAGTGCAGTAGCACCCTAGGGCCCCTACCAGGAGGGCCGAGCCGGGTGATCAAGAGACTTCGCAAAAAGGCCTTTATAGGGTTTAAGGGTCCAGAGTCTAGGGTTTAAGGGTATAGGGGTTTAAGTATTGACCTCACGGCCTTTCCCCGAGACTGAAAAAGACCCTGCTTTAGGGTTGAGGGTTTAAGGGTTAAGGTTTAAAGGTGCCGCGATACGGGTGGTCGCCTTATAAATAGAACCCTGACAATCGTAATAGAACCCTCATGGCAGTACTCCTATAACCCGTATGGGTGTCAAAAAGAGACCTTAATTTTGACAGCCACCCGTATAGAAGCTTTGTTATAGAACCCTTCTAACATTGTAGGACCCTTAAAGAACCCCCTAAAGGAACCCTAGAGATCTCTTTAAAGGAACCATGAAGCCCCCCCACAGAGCCCTTGTGGAACCCTTAACCTTTATAGAACCCTCTTCCTGCCTTCAGGGTCCCTGCTCATGGCTGCGCTGGGTCTCGGTGACCTGGCAACGCTTTCGGTAAGGTGTTCCGGTGTTCCCTCAAGTTAGCTCCTTTTGGGGATCCCTTAAAGGGTTCCTTTAAGGGATCCCTTAAGGGTTCCTTCAAGTTAGTTCCCTGAATTAAGGGTTCCTTCAAGGGTTAAGGGTTTTGGGGTTTAGGGGTTTAGGGTTTAGCAAAGAGCATATGAGGGCTTCAAACTGGATCTATTGCTGGCTTCATACGAAGTAGGGTGCTTGAGCAAGACCTAGAAGGGATCTATCAGGGATCCAGCCTAGGCCCTAAGCGCTAAACCGTGAAACCCCAACGGAAATGCAGGGGTTCGGGGATTGCTTTCGATGTAAGGGGTTCATGTCGGTTTTATCAGGGTCATATTATTCATATTGTATATGTTTCAGAAGGGTAAGAGGCTTGCAAACACAAGTAGGGTTCCTTGAAGAGTGCTAGAGAGGGGATTACAGTGTATGGGGTTTCGCGCGAGTGCACATAGGACGCCCTAGGAAAGCAACTCGGCGGCCGATTGGCGAAGAGTGCAATTACACCAGCTGGCAACATTACTTTGGTGGCACGGAAGGGCGTGAAAGGCCGCAGCAACGTGTACCCTACCGCAGCCGCATCGCTCCTCACCGTCATCCGTCGTGTGATCAGGATCGAATTTCGGCTCGCCACCATTGCCCAGGGTTTCCTAATAACTAATACTAATACTAACCCTATATAATCCCTAAACTTTAAACCCTAAACTCGAAACCCGAAACCCGGCAAACCAACAAAATTAGGCCATTTCGGCCTAGTGGTCCGGACGGTGCTCTTGCACGTGCCCTGTTTCGAACCCCGGTGCTGTCATAAGATTGCTGGTGGCAAATGAATGGAAATCCTTAAGGGAAACCATTGAGATTCTAGCAGGCTAACCGTGGGCCTGTGTGACTCAAGTGTGCTTCTGCGGCCTGTTTACACAAAGTTGGCTTCAGCTTCAAGCTCCGACTGCAAGCTCAGCGTGCTTTCACGTGGCCATGGAGTCATTCTCACAGCTGAGGGCATTGCTGCCAGCAGCAGAGATGCTGTGAAGACGGCTCGCATCGACCGCTTTTGCTTTCGGAAGCCCTTCAAACTGTAAACCCAATCATGCGCAGCCACCTGATAGAACTTTGAGCAGACTTGCACTACAAAAAGAGCTTTATCTGGCTTAACTCCCGCAGGAGAAGCCTGAAGAGCACCCCAAGTAAGAAGCCTCATCGGATGCAGGAAAACCTTTGCAACACTGTCTAGCTTAAACCCAAGCCCTAAAAAGACCACACTCCCGAGAAACCCTACAGTCTCTGGACTAAACCCTAAACCGCCCTACACCTCAAGACCGCTATTGCACACTCAGTCTATAGTCCAGTGGTAGAAACCCAACTGTAGTTTTACGGTCCCATAATGTGGCTTCTAAAGCGGTGTAAAGAGTACGCTTTAGTAATGAACATGTAGTCAGCATCGTACCTGCAAAAAGCCTGTGCCACTGAGGCTTAGGTGCCCTGGACCCTAAATCCTTAGCTCTCCCTCTTAACCCAAAACAGCCGAGACCCTACACTGAGGTCAGATGGTCACTTTGGTGCAGCAGCTGCTGATCATCCAACAGCAACCTGTCTGGAATGCGACACCCTCTCACCACTCAGACAGCCCTTGCAAAAGGGCGCTTGGGGTTTAGAGCTTGTGCTTCCGGGTATCAGGATGTTCGATGGTTGAGGGCTTGGTGTATGCGGCGGTTTAGGGTATTACCCCTCTACTCAATTCATTGAGGGTTCGAGTGGGGTTCTACCAAGATTCTATTGTAGAGTTTGAACAGCCCAGCCTAGTTTTTAATTGAGGAAGCTGTCTTCCGAGGCCATAGAGAACCTGAGAATTTTTCCTTGTTTAAACAGTTGTTGCCCTGCAGCAACAAACACAGTTTTCGTAGGAACACTCCAGAAGGACATATGGCGTTTCAGTGTTCATCATGATTTGTGTCACGACTATACGTTCAACACTACTGCCAGTTTTCACCACCGCCCATCATCAGCCGCATCGTCGTCGTGTCGTCTTCCGCTCCAGCAGAAGCACCACAGCGTCCTAAACTGGAATCATTGGGAGTTTTGGTGCATTTGTACGTAAGCTACTCCATATACGGGCTTATAGACAAAATTCTGGTTGATTTGGGGGCTCCATAAACTGCAATCAGAGGGGGTTTCGGAACACCCGAAGCCCACTTTTCTAATCCTGAGCATTTTAAACCCCAGATCCTAATCCGAATGTGCCAAAGCCATGCTTGAATCATCTTAAATCCGCTTATAGAAAGTCACCCAGGCCCCCCCCCTAATGGCGAACCGTGTAGCCCGAACTACGAGAATCCCCAGAAACATTAACCCTGCACCCTTTGGAACCACACTATCAAGCCCAAATACCCCCTCTACCACCCTTTGCATGATCTCTAAACACACCCCATGGAAGAGCCCTAAGTCCTAAACCTTAATACACCCTGAACCCTAGCCCCTAAGTAACTTAGTAGAGCTCTTTAAAGGAACCCCGAACCCTAGAAGAGCCCTAAACCCGACACCCTCTTAGAACTTACCTTTGATTAGTAGGGAATGGAAGAATGGTAGCAAAAGTAGTTGTAATTGTACCCCATTCCTCCATTCCCTACTAACCAAAGGTAAGAGAAGGAGCAGGACCCTTTAAGGGAAGTCGAGGGCACCCTAAATCTTAAACCCTATAAGTCCCGAACCCTAAACCCCTAAACCCCTAAACCTTAAGCCCTAAACCCTATCATTTCTGAGGTTTCAGATCGACTGGGTGGAACCCTTTCGATCGATCATGGCCGCGCTGCAGGCTGGTGTCGAGGGGTTTAGGGTTTAGGGCGTTTAGGGCTTTGGGTGTTTAGGGTGTTTAGGGGTTAGGGTGTGTAGAGTGTTTAGGGTTTTTAGAGTGTTTAGAGTGTTTAGGGTTTAGAGTGTTTAGAGTGTTTAGGGTTTAGGGTGTTTAGGGGGTTTAAGGTTTAGGGTGTTTGCGGGGTTTAGGGTGTTTAGGATGTTTAGGGTGTTTAGGGTTTAGGATTTAGGGTCTCGGCGAGTGGTTTGGGGGGTTTGGGTGATTGACGTTTAGGGTTTAGGGTTTGGGGTCTAGGTAGGTTTAGGGTTTGGGGTTTAGGGTTTAGATTTTGGGGGGTTAAGGTTTAGGGTTTGGGGGTTGGGGGTTTACCAGGACCCCCCAATGACCCTTTAATGGTTTTCGTATGGTCTTTAATGTCTGAACAGGCTTCCTTGCGCAAATGCATTTACGGCTTAGGGTTTGGGGGACGCCTGGTGGGATCAGGGGTGTTTTAGACAGGTACTGTAGGATTCGGCTTTTTATTGGGCTGTACGTAGAGCGAGGTTTGCCTTTGCCCGGGCTGCAGCACTTGGAGGTTCATGGGTAGTAGTTTTAAGTGGGGTTATAAGTAAGGTAACTCTAACTACAACCACATATTAGATAACTCCACTTATAGCTACCCATGAACCTCCAAGTAGGGTTTTTCTGTCGGTTTCGAAACACACGCCGAGGCCCCCCCTGAAACTTGGCGCAGGCTTCGGCATTTGGGCTAATGGTTGTTGGAGGGTTGCTGAGGTATCATTTAGAAGGTGCCCCCACCCTGTAATGGTGGCATAATAGGAATAGAATATAGGGCCCTAATTGGAATAGAATAGGGCCCTACTATAATCCTTATAGTCACTATTACAGGGTGGGGGCAGCTTCTAAGGTATCATGTTGGCTGTATGTTTTGGGTGCCATCTCAGTCCAGGGGGAGTAGACCCTCAATCATGCCCTGAACAGTACAACTTTTGCGAACAGCCTAGAATCGCCTGCCAAGGAAAGCCGCTAAACCCTAAACCCTGGAACCTAAACCCCAAACCCTGACCCTAAACCCTAAACCCTAAACCCTAAACCCTAAACCCTAAACCCTAAACCCAAAACCCTAAACCCTAAACCCAAAAACCCTAAACCCTAAACCCTAAACCCTGGAACCTAAACCCCAAACCCTGAAACCTGCGAGCCCATATCCACCACATCACCTTGGAAAAGAAGGAAAGTGACTTTTAAAACGCAGAAGCCACATCTGACGCGAGAGTTTCACAAAGGAGCCCTGAACGCAGCTCGCTATAGAAACTCTAAACCGCCCAGACCCATATGAAACAAGGTAGCCCCTTTACAAACATTCTAAGAACCTTTAGAAGAGATTTCTGTATAGAATTCTTACAAAGGCTTAATACCATATCTAAACCTCGCAGCCTAAACCCTCAGCCCATATCAAGAACAAACCTATTAGCAGCCCTGAGTCAATTTCAAAACTCAGGGCCACACCAAGGGGGGGAACAGTTTGACCGGGCAAGGGCCGCACCCCAAACCTAATTAGACCTAACCCCCCCAGGGTTAGACCTAACACCCCCTGAATAGTAAGTAATATATATATATATATATATATTGTTATTATTAGGTTTTAATGAAACCGGAGAAAAACACCAAAACTCCATGTGCCCATGTATTTAGGCCTTATAATCGGGTCCTGATATAGGTATGTTCATGCCTAAGTGCCTACTATAATGGGTACATGGAGCCTTTGGGAAAGCCCTACGCCTATGGTCGCAAAAATCCTGCGAAGCCCTAGAGTAGAAGCCAGAAAGTTGGAACATCATTATCCTCATGCCCTTAAGGTAAAGTATAAGACATCCTAGCATGAATCTTCCTAAAGCCATGTTCCAACTTTCTGCTGTTCATCAGATTGTGGCCTTCGATTTGGACGCCCTTCGACTTGGCTGCATGGCGCCTGCCGGATCGCTTTCCAACTTCCTTTTTCGAGCCTTTGGCTGTCACAACGATCTAGGATGCCCAGTAGTACCCTTGTTCCCAGTTTGTAGTCCTAGGTTCCTGAAAAGTTACAAATACCAGAAAAGGTAGCCCGTTTTACTCCTAGGTTGCTGGGCATCCTAGCGATGGGTTTCTAGCATTGTTGGCGATAGGGGTTAGGGTTTAGGGCCGCTGGCACAAGAGGTCCGTGGGGTTGATGCGGTTTTAGGGTTCAGAGGGTTCAGAGGGTTTGGAGGTATAGGCTTTCGGATTTAGGGATGTGGATTTCAATACGGGTCTCTACCTGACAATTTTGTTTCATGGGTTGTATAGTTTTATCCTGGAAGACAGGGGTCACGACATACGTAATTACGCGTGTGTCCAGCGTGTAGCGTTTGAAAGGGGCTTCAGAGTGTTCTACGATAGGTTACTCGTGACTTTTTGTCCAGTAAGCTATAAGCTATGAAAAGCGTTCAGCTTGAAGCGGCTTCAAGAGGGCGCGACGAGGGTTTGCATGATTGTGTCACCTTGGATATAATTATGGACGTACGTAGTGCGTGATTTAAGACGACAACTGCTAGCTGTTCTAATTCCAAATCGTGAGTGCTGCGATTGTAAAGGTCTCAAGTGCGAGTACCCTTGCTGGTTCAAGTTGTTCAGAGACAGACTGTAGTGTAGTAGCAGCCGTTGTAGTGACACACTTCATTGCATGGTAATGCTGCGTGTCAGGATGCTGTCTGGGGAGGCCGTTGCTAGCATACCTTCGGAGGAACTGGAGGACGTGAACGATGTAAGGTCGTTGAAACAGCGACTTCATCGACTGCATGGCTTGCCACCCCGATTCAGACAAAGACTCTTTCATTGTGGCAGGCCGCTTGAGGATATGGACAAGTTAGTTTCGCCCATGGACGTCGAGCTGGTCCTGCTGACGCCTGCCATCGCATCCCACACATTTGATGAGCCTGAGCTTGTGGCTGCCGCCAGGAATCTTAGATCCACAATACCCAACCTTTAAAGTGTTTTTGGGTTCTTATAGTTTAGTACCCAGAGGGTCCGAGTCCCTATTACAAGACTTTAGGGCTTTTTTGGGTGCCAAAAACCATAAATAGGAGCTACTTGGACCCTTAGGGGTAGGTATCGGAAAGTTTAACCTTAGAGTAGAAGCCAGAAAGTTGGAACATGAATTTAGGAGGATTAGTGCTAGGATCCCTTATACTGTACCTTAAGAGCATGAGGCCAATGATGTTCCAACTTTCTGGCTTCTACTGTACATTTCTGTGGCTTGCTGGGGGAGTAAGGACTGGTTTGGCATCCGAGGTGGGCCTTGGTTTTTCACAAGAAGCCTGTGTTACCCTAAGGGTCCAAGTAGTTCTTATTTATGGTTTTTGGGACCTAAAAAGGCCCTAAAGCCCTATAATAGGGAGTACTTGGACCCTCTGGGTTAGTGTTTACTTGGACCCGCAAAGTATGTAGAATAATAGCTGTTTTATAGGTATTCGGCCATGACTTTACCGGGTTAAGGTAGGGTTTAGGGATAGTGGGTTGGGGGTATGTTTTTTGAAGCCTTACAGGCATTGCAGTAACAGCAGGAACACCCCTGTACGAAATGGCATTATCCAGGCTTCTCCAGGGTTTTGCAAGCATCTATGCTGACCAAGCCCGCGAAAGTTAGTCCCCTCACCCGTCGTAGACATCCCAGGAATCCTTACCCAGACTTTCCAATATCCCTTAATTCAGGAATAAAGACCTTAAGTTAGAACAGGATCCCTGACATGGTATGAGGTATATTAATGAATTACAGGATATTGGAAGGTCTGGGACCCTAAACCCTAAACCTTAAACCCTAAACCCTAAACCCTTGAAAGCCGTCAGGTCGAAACCATACTGCAGCAGCCCCAGCTCCCGGACGTCGTCTGGCAAAGAGAAGACAAAACTCCGCTGAGGGTCGCATCTCGCGAAGGCCATGTGGAGATTCTACGCCTGCTGCTGGAAGCCGGTGCAGACGTAAACCTTCCCGATGATGCCGGCAACACTGCTTTGATGATAGCTGTGATGCAATGCCAGACAGAAGCTGTGCGAGTGCTGTTGGAGGCCACTGCCGATACGAATTTGGTTAACCGTGACCGCAATACTGCCCTGGTGCTAGCTTCCAACCGTGTCTCTGTGGACATTGTACGCTTGCTGGCGGATGGCGGCGCTGACACGAACTTCATGGGGCGGTCAGGCAATACGGCCTTGATGGGGGCCTCTGCTGGAGGCCACATTGACTTAGTGCATTGCCTGCTGGAGGTCGGTGCCGACGCGAACATGGCCACCGACGGTGGCACAACTGCCCTGATGGTAGCTTCTGCACGAGGGCGAACGAACATTCTGCATGTTCTATTAGAGGCTGGTGCCGAAAAGAACGTTGCCAGTAGGTATGGCAGCACTGCCTTGCTTGAGGCATGTGCAGGTGGGCACGCGGACGTTCTGCATGTTCTACTGGAGGCTGGTGCCGACAAGAATGCTTCCGACGATAAAGGCTTCACTGGCCTCATGCTAGCTTGTCGCGAAGGTCACATTGAAACTGTGCGTCGTTTGCTGGAGGCCGGTGCCGACAAGAACGTTGCCAGTAGTGCCCTGCTTCTGGCATGTGTAAGTGGGCGCACGGACGTTCTGCATATTCTATTGGAGGCTGGTGCCAACAAGAACGCTTCCGACGATGAAGGCTTCACTGGCCTCATGCTAGCTTGTCGCGAAGGTCACATTGAAACTGTGCGTCGTTTGCTGGAGGCCGGTGCCGACAAGAACGTTGCCAGTAGGGATGGCAGCACTGCCCTGCTTCTGGCTTGTGCAAGTGGGCACGCGGACGTTCTGCATGTTCTATTGGAGGCTGGTGCCAACAAGAACGCTTCCGACGATGAAGGCTTCACTGGCCTCATGCTAGCTTGTCTCGAAGGTCATGTTGAAACTGCGCGTCGTTTGCTGGAGGCCGGTGCCGACAAGAACGTTGCCAGTGGGGATGGCAGCACTGCCCTGCTTCTGGCTTGTGCAAGTGGTCACGCGGACGCTCTGCGTGTTCTACTAGAGGCTGGTGCCGATGTGGAGTCGGCCGACCATGACGGTAACACTGCCTTGATTCGAGCCTCCGAAGAAGGCCATGTTAAAGTTGTTCAATTGCTGCTGAAAGCTGGTGCTGAGAAGAATTCAGTCAACAACGAGGGGGCCTCTGCCCTCATGTTAGCAGCTCAGGCAGGCCACGCCAGGGTCGTTCGTTTTCTGCGTAGGGGCGGTTGAGATACACATCTTTGCTCAACAACGCTGGCTTCACTGCTCTGATGACAACATCTCAAGCAGGCAATATTGAAGTTGTGCGTCTGCTGCTACTTAACTTGCTGGCGCAGACCAGGATGTGGCAAGCCAGGATGACATCATTGCTTTGACTGCATTTTCTGACAATGGGCATCTGAAAGTTGCCAGGTGGCTGCGTTTGTTGTAGGAGGCCATTCCCTCTATCATGTAGCGATAGCTCTGGCAAAACATCGCAACGGTGACTTCCACAAACTTGCATCAGGCCATCTACCAACAGGGCGGCTGGAAGTAGGAAGCAAATCCCAAACCTTGAACCCCTAAGGCTCCATTTGCCCATATGGGAGTTTCGGAAAATTAGGGGTACCTCATTTGAGGGCCTTCATAATAAGGATCCTACTATTTAGGGTACCATATTAGGATCCCCAATTTTCGGAAACTCCCATATATATATATATATAGTAGGTACTTAGGCCTTCAAGTACCTAGTTATATAGGACCCCCCTTCAGCGTCTAAGTACCTACCAACCCAGAGGCTCCTCATATACTACCATTATGGAATTAGGTCCGTAAAACCAGAATAAGGATCGGTTTAGGGTTTAGGGGTTGGGGTTATTGCTATTTGGGACCTAATACCATAATGGTAGTATATGAGGAGCCTCTGGCCAAGAAAGTACCTACTACGGTCGATGATGTACATCCTGCATTACCTGAATGGCTCTAGACTATGGGAATTTTGGTATATCCCTAATTATGGGTAATGCAGGATTTATATCATCAACCGGAGTAGTATAGTCCCAAAGGCTCCATGTGCCCATATAGTATATGCTTAGGCCCTAAAGTATCTATATAGGGACCCCTTTAAGAGCTAAGCATCGACTATAAAGGTACATGGAGCCTTTGGGTATGGGTTTCCAGAGACTCCAAAACCCCTTACTTAAGGAATATACCTTAAATTATATTGAGGATCCTACTATAATTTAAGGGATATTCCTTAACTAAGGGATACTGGAGTCCCCTAAACCCTAAACCCTATAGATCCCTTATAGATCCCTTAAAGGAACCCTAGGTATATTCCTTAATTAAGGGGTGTTGGAGGCTCTGGGTATATGGAGCCTTTGGGAGCCCCAACGGGGGTAACCGCAGTTCGGGCCGAGGCGTGAGTCGGGGGGATGCTCCCTTATGTTAGGGACCCAAAAAGGCACATAGGGTTTAGGGTTTAGGGTTTAGGAACAATCAAGCAGTTTATAAGGATATCCCTACCTTATTGGGCTTCCTTTTAAGGGGGTTTATATGGGAGATCCCTATCCTTATGTTTGCTTATGTTCTTTTTTGGGGCCCTATTATAACCTATACCCGAAACTCTACAACCCGAAATCCTGAACCCTAACCCCCCCTCAGACTTATACTCAGACCTAAACCCTCAACCCTAATCAAACCCTAAACCCTAACCCCCCTAAGCTTAGGGGTACTTAGAGATAATTTTTAAATTTTGGTTATTATAATCCCTAAGAAAACAGCTAAAATTAGAATTTTTGCTAGGGTTCTAAGTTCGGTATAGCAACCCCAAGGGCCCAAACGGTGATATAAATCCTGCATGGCCTTAAGGTCCCTAAACTATGGGAATTATGGTATATTCTTCATTATGGTTAATGCAGGATTTATATCATCAACCGAAGGACTCAATAACTTATTGGCTGTAAACTCAACTTTTCAACATTTTTTGGGGTCTTACAAGGTAGGCGATTCTGAAAGTTTCAACTTTTATTTCCTTGGGTTTTGGGCCAGTGAGACAATAAGGTACTGGTACTTGGGATTAGGATAGTAGCTAAGTATAGCTTAGGATTTTGGAGAGTCAAGGATTATATTGGGTACTTGGACCCTTGGGGGTAAGATCAAGCATCTGATCATGATTCCAAGTGTTTCGGTGTGTCCTTTGGGTCTGCGCCGTATACGCTTATAGTCCCCAATATACCGTAAGGCTCCATGTGCACATATAGTAGCTACTGAGACCTTAAAGGGGTCCCTATGTAGGTATGTACTTTAAGGCCTCCGTACCGACTATATGAGCACATGGAGCCTTTGGGACTATACTGCTAGCCCTAAGGGTCCAAGTAGTCCTTATTTATGGGTTTTTGGTACCTAAAAAGGCTCTAAAGTCCTACAAATAGTGAGTACTTGGACCCCCTGGGTAGTAGTTCTAGTCGAAGAATCCCCAAAGCCTGACTATTATCGGCTCCTCGGTGCTTCAAGACCCACAGAACCACAGCCGGACAGGGTTTCTGGTGCGAAGTTCGATCCCACAAGATGTGGCTTATGAGATATCTTTCAGAGTTCGATCCCACAAGATGTGGTTTAGGAGATATCTTTCAGAGCCCCATGCCTTGCACGGGTCATTGGCTCCTGAACGTAATCTCGCTAGTTTTAAAAAGCTAGGACCTAGAGTAGGCCCTTATTCCCTTTTTTGGGGTTCGGGTTCCCTTATAAGCCCCTTTAAACCAAAAAGGGCATCCTTTTTATGCCTGGGTTACTCTTGGGTCTAGAAAGTCGTTGTCAGATTGGCTATGCTCTCCTCACTCATCCTACGCGATGAGGCATTCGGGTCTGAGGTCGTGGTTTAGTAGAAGCCAGAAAGTTGGAATATCATTCTCCCAACCCCTTTTAGGTAAATTATAGGGGATCCTACCATTCATCCATATTCCAACTTTCTGGAGTTCCCTTTATTCTGTTGGATTTAGGTTTTTGGGGCTCAGCACATACAAGTGGTGATCCAAACCCCAGCAGGCCTAAGCCTTCAACATGCTTCAACCATGACTTAGGAGTACTTAGACACATTTTTTAATTTTTGTTTATTGTAATCCCTAAGAAACAGCGAAAATTCTTTTTTTGCTAGGGTTCTAAGTTCAGTATAGATGAGCGGCTAAGGAACCTTCGTTTTGCCGACCTTCTGCATCATCGCAGCGATCATCCACGTCCTCTACGCGAATTTCTTCCATACGCCTTGTTGCACCTCAGCCGCGCAGCTTTGGAGACTGCATGGGTGGTTGTCAAGATTAGGGTCCCTTTTTGGGTCCTAGGGTACCCAACAAGGGACCCGAATTTTGACAGCCACCCGTATAGAAGCCTTATAATAGAACCCTTATAGGGCCCTTATAGAACCCCCTTTCAAGGAACCCCAGAGATCCCTTTAAAGTTATAAGTACCTACTAGTTATAAGTAGAGTTACCCTAATTATAACCCTAGTTACTGAGAGTAGGGTCCTTGTTGAGTGCTTGGGCTTACTAGTAGTAGCGACAGCAGTTCATGTACGAATGAGGTCTCTCAAACTCTAAAGCCTTAAGCTCTCTTCTGCAGTCAGTGGGAGAACTTTAAGCCGTTAGGGTCTTTATGTTTGGTTCTATCCAGGCATTCGAAGCCCTATACTAAGCCCCTCAAACCCCCGAAGCCCAAGCCTTCTAAGGCCGTGGAGCCCCTGCCACACCTCATGAAGCCCTTGCTAATCTCAGCAAGCTTGTAACAAAAGCCCTGTAACCCAAAGCAATGCCTAGACCTCTATTTCTGGAAGAGTGATCTTTCAATGGGCGCAAGGTCTCGCTGTTGAAGAGTACTCATATACTGGGCACGATTTGTCATGGCAGACTCAAGCTCCTAAATCCTGGACGTTCACAGGACCTCTTCTAGAACCCTACAGAACCCCAAAGCCTCATCCACCAAACCCAAAGCCCTAAACCCTAAACCCAAAACCCAAAATTTCCCTAAACCCTAAACCCTAAACCCTAAACCCGAAGATCCCTGAGAGCCTCCGATCCCACGAAAGTAGATGGGGCTCAGGGCCCTTTCTTGAAGGATCATGGGTTTAGGGTTTAGGGTTTAGGGTTTAGACTTGTAACTACTTATAACCCCAATTAAGATACTTATAACCTTACTTACTAAGTCCCAAGGCTAGTTATAAGTGGAGTTACAAGTCCCCTAATATGGGGTATAAGTATAGTTACCCTACTTCTAAGCCTACTTATAACTACCCATAAACCTCCAAATAGAATCCTAAACCCTATACCCTTATAGAATCCCTATAGATTCCTTGAAAGGGACCTTAAAGGAACCCCTATAACTACCCCCTAAACCCTTAGCCCTAAACTGCCCATGCACCTCCAAGTAGGCCTTATGAGCCGCAAAGCCTGAGCCCTAAACCTTTCTTTCCCACAGCATAAGCCGTACACCCTATAAGTGGTATACACCTTCCCTAAGGGCCCAAGTAGTACCCTTATTCCTTTTTTGTAGTCCTAGGTTCCTTATAAAGTTACCCAATACCAAAAAGAGAGGCCTTTTTGTTCTTAGGTTACTGGGTATCCTAGTTACAAACCCTAAACCCCATAAGTGGTAGATACCTTACGAGCCCTAGAACCCTAAACCCTGTAATTGTTATATACCTTACAAACCCGAAACCCTATAAGCCCTACTTGGAGGTTCGGGGGCCTAGTAAGTAGGTAGTAAGTAGACTTACAAGTACCCTAAAAGGGACCCTAATTGGGGTTATGGTACTTATAAGTCCCTAAAATAAGCAGTTACTAAGTCCCCCGACCCTCCAAGTAAAGCCTCTTCCAGGGCAAAAGCGGGGGGCCGACGTCTCCACCCCCTCGCCGAAGCCGGAGATGACGCTGTTGTTCAGCACTGCCACTTTGGCCATTGTAGCGGTCTTTATAGGGCTCCTTACAAGGGGTCCTTTAGGGTTCCTTAAAGGGATCCATAAGGGTTCTATAAGGGATCTTTAGGTTTGCAGAGTTTATTTAAGGTTTACCTAGACCCCACAAAGTAGGTAAAATAATGGCCCAACACCTAGAAAAGGCCGTTATTCTACATACTTTTGGGGTCCAGGTAAGGCTTTAGTGGTTTGTGGGGTTAGGGCTTAGATCTGAGGGCACTGTAGGAGGGTCCGGGTTTAGAGTTCGTTCAGCGTGTTATCAGGTTTGGACAGCTGTTCAGGGATCTACAACACGGAGGGTCCAAGTAGTTCCTATTCATGGTTTTTGGTACCCATAAAAAGGCTTTAAAGTCCTATAATAGGGAGTATTTGGACCCTCTGGGTAAGGGTCCTGTATGTAGTCTGGTATGTAAGTACCCTCAGTGAGCCCGTAATTCGGTCGTTGATGGAAACCCTTAGAAAGGAGCCTGATCGATTGCCACCAACCAGGCTCATGAGTCAAAGACAAGGGCAGACTAAGCAAGCCGCCATGCGAAGAGAAGCACGAGGGCACAAGGGTTCCATCCGTCTTGGGGGCTCCATGTGGGTCCTCCTTGAGGGTTCCATAAGTGTCAATTTTTGAGGGTCCCACCCGGTTCCTGGCTATCGGTTTTCAAAGGGTGACGTGCGGAATCTAATAAGTGGAAGTTTCCGAAAACTAGGGGTACCTTATTTTGGTGTACTAATAATATTTGGGGTACCATATTAGGGTCCCCCTACTTTCGGAAACTCCCAAGTGTGCACAGAGGAGGAAATCAACGGAGCGAAGCAATACCTAAAGGATCATGGATAGTAGCTAGGGTTAAAATTAGGGTAACTATACTTGTAACCCCAATCGAGGTACTTATAGCCTTACTTGCTAAGTCCCATAATCCTCCAAGTACATGACCCAACTAGACCCGAAGCCAGCGGGTCCAAGTACTCCCTTTTCTAGGACTTTAGGGCCGTTTTCGGTACCAGAAACCATAAATAGGAACAACTTGGACCCTGAGGGGAAGCCTTAAACAGACACCCAAGCCTTAAACGCTTCGATCATACTTGCGAATACCTGGATTGTAAGCCATGAAACTCAAAACCCTAAACACAACCTTCTACGGTGTCCTCAGATCTAAACCCCCAAGCCCTGCAGAGCCCTCAGACCTGAACCCGAAACCTTTATTTATATCCCTAAACCCTCAAACCCTACCCCCCCTCAGGCCTATACCCGAAACTCTACAACCGGATATCCTAAACCCTAACCCCACCTCAGACCTATACCGGAAAGGCCAATTAAACCCTAAACCCTAACCTCCTCAGACCTAAACCCTCAACCCTAATCAAACTCTAAACCCTAACCCCCCTAAGCTTAGGGGTACTTAGAGATAATTTTTAATTTTTGGTTATTATAATCCCCAAGAAACAGCTGAAATTAGAATTTTTGCTAGGGTTCTAAGTTCAATATAGTAAGACCTAAACCCGAAACCCCTCTAAGACCTAAACCCGAAACCCCCCTCAGACGACACGAGGTCGGTACTCTTTGGCTGGTCTTTTTCATCTCCCACGGAGCCACGCAGCTTGGCCAAGAAAGAGGGGAGGCCCAACTGGAGTACCTTAGATCCCCAATGCCCAAACTTTAAACTTTTTGGGTTCGTATAGTTTAGTAGGTATCGGAAAGTTTAACCTGAAATTTCTATGGCTTATTGGGGGAGTAAGGTACCCAAGGTCATCAGAAGCCAAAAGGTTAGCCTATGGGTGTTTAGTAGGGATTAGGGTTCCCATAATAGGGTTCATATTAAGGAATACCTACCCCAAGAATCTTAAACCCCCCTGTTGCTCTCCCATCAGAGTGCATACCCAAGGGTCCAAAGTACCTACATAGTAGAATGTAGGGTTTCTTTACGGGTTCCATCAAGGGTTCAGGGTTCCTTTAAGAGTTCCTATATAGTAGAATGTAGGGTTTCTATTTTTAGGAATTACTAATATGATTTGGGGAGGTATTCCCCATGACAGTACCTAGGACCCTTTTGGAGTAGTGTACCCTGTACAGGCTTCCTCTGAAGGTTCTATAGTTAGATAGGTTTGCGCAGGTCTTATCTCCAAACTAATCCTAAACCCTATAAACCCTACATGAACCCCTTAAATAAGGGTTCAGGAATAGGTAGCAGCATTTTTCCACAGGCCTGGCAGGTCAGGCCAGGAGCTCCAACACCTTAACTCGAAGGACATACATGTACTTTCCCGAACTGTCAGAACTCATCGGAGACCGCATTGAGCACATCTCCGAAGACATGAGCGCCGACTTCAACAGCAGGATGCAAGGCATCGCATATGTGCTTGCAGACAGAACTGTCTTGGGCAATGAAGTTGGGCGATGTCTTTATCAGCCTGCCCGATTGTCAGTTGCAAGGCTTCTCGATAAAGCTGAAGGCATGGCTGGAGCTTCCGACTGCGTTTCTGTCGGCCAACTGCATGCCAGCATGAAGTTTCCCAGAAGACGGCAGTTGCAGCTGGTAGCAAGCTAAAACAGCAGCCCCTTTGGTGCCAGGTCCCAAACGTGGTGTGCATTGCAGCAGCTAATGCAAGCAGGAGACCGATGCAGAGAAGGAGGCTCGCTTTCCGCCAAGCTTTGTGCGGTTGCCTGTTGCGGTGCCAGCACGCTTATGGAGTTCGGCCGGTGTGCTAGTGTGATATACCATCTGTATCGGTACTGCCCGATGCTGGCGGCTATTTCCGCCCCGCGTGATCCATACGGGGCGCAATCGTACACGACGCAGGAAGGCATGACCTCAATCTTCCGTGCATGGTCGGTGCTTCCCTTATTATGTCTGAGTCATGTTCGCTCTGCATAGAGCCTTCATAAGAAAGCAGTATTTTAATATCGTTCACTTAAGTTGGGGTACCTACCGTTACCTACCATAATCTAAGCGACATTCCGAATACCCACCATAAGGGATAAATATTGGGAAATGCCTCACTGTGTAACAGTTGGATAGTACTTAGAATATGCTTATATACAGCCACTAGTCTGTGACAGGGTGGGGGCAGTGCCCACCTTAGATACCTGAACACAAAATCCAAGGGTAAAAGGACGGACCCTTAATAAGGACGCCTAGGTATATAAGCCTTGGAATTGAGAGCTTGCTGTTTAGCTTTTAGAGTTTTTTATTATGCGGCTCTTGGACGCTGTTCCGGTCTGTTCCTTTTTCTTGGCTTCTGGCTTCTTTCGTGGAGATCTCAGTCAATGTAAATATGTACACAAAGACACACATATGTGGCATATATATATATATACATATACACACACATATACATATACATATACATATACATATACATCAAATATTGCAAACCCCCAAAGAAGAGTGCAGTTTGGATCTTTCGAGTTTAGGGTTGGGACATTTGACAAGTGCATCACAGGCTGTTGATTAGCTAGGGTTTAGGCTTTAGGGTTTAGGGCTTTGAGGGTTTAGGGTGTAGGGTTTAGAGGGTTTAGGGTTTAGGGCCTTGAGGGTTTAGGGCTTTGAGGGTTTAGGGTTTAGGGCTCTGAGGGTTTAGGGTTTAGGGCTTTAAGGTTTAGGGCCTTGAGGGTTTTGGGCTTTGAGGGTTTAGGGTTTAGGGCCTTGAGGGTTTAGGGCTTTGAGGGTTTAGGGTTTAGGGCCTTGAGGGTTTAGGGCTTTGAGGGTTTAGGGTTTAGGGCCTTGAGGGTTTAGGGCTTTGAGGGTGAAGGGTTTAGGGCCTTGAGGGTTTAGGGCTTTGAGGGTTTAGGGTGTAGGGTTTAGAGGGTTTAGGGTTTAGGGCCTTGAGGGTTTAGGGCCTTGAGGGTTTAGGGCTTTCAGGGTTCAGGGTTTAGGGCTTTGAGGGTTCAGGGTGTAGGGTTTAGAGGGTTTAGGGTTTACGGTTTAGGGTTTAGGGCTTTGAGGGTTTAGAGGGTTTAGAGGGTTTAGGGTTTTGGGTTTAGAGGGTTTAGGGCCCTTAACTAGGATGCCCAGTAGTACCCTTATTCCTTTTTTGTAGTCCTAGGTTCCTTATAAAGTTACCCAATACCAAAAAGAGAGGCCTTTTTGTTCTTAGGTTACTGGGTATCCTAGTTAAGGTAATGCAGGATTTATACCATCAACCGAAGGACCTTGACGGCCCCGCAAACCCGTACACTGTACACCCTACCTGGACCCCAAAGTTATGTAGGAGAATAGCTTGTCTTAAGTGCTGGGCCATTTTTTCATTTGTTGGGCTTAAACCCTAAACCCCTGAACCCTACTACCCCGAAAACCCAGACCTGACCCAAACCCGGAGATCTGCCCTAGACCCTAAAAGCACTAAGCCATCCCCCTAAGGCTCCCAAGAGGGTCTTTGTGCCAAAGCTCGGGTTTGGGACCTCACTACAAGGGTCCAGGAGCCTTAAGGCATAGAACCCTTAAAGGAACCTTGTTCCCTATAACACCCTAAGCCCAAAGCCTCAGGATTCTGGCACCGTTCCGATGCACAGAGCATCCGAGTGGGCAGCTGACTGTGCAGGGCTACGAGGACCTTTGTCTCCTTTGTTTAGGGTTTAGGGTTTAGGGGATCTTCTTTTGGGTTTAGGGTTTAGGATTCAGGGTTTAGGGTTTAGGAGAATTTCTTTTGGGCTTATTTGGGTTAGGGTTCAGGGTTTAGGACCTCGGGTTTAGGCTTTAGAGTTTAGGTCCGTATAGTTTTGTGTGCTGCCTCCCCGAAGCGGCTGGGGTAGTTTGGGCCCAAAAACCTTAATATATGAGTCCTTAGATGCCGAGGGATATACCGTTGTTTTATCGGTTCAGGGTTTAATGTTTAAGGTTTAGGGTTCAGGATTTTCTGTTCAGAGTTTAAGCTTCAAGGGCTTAAAGTGCATGGCTTAAGTCGGAATTTGCGATGTTGTAGGGTCTTCCTAGTTTCTACATGGGTTTATAGTAGTCATGAACACTAAATCCTCATTCCTAAGCCCTTAACTCTGAACTGTGACATGTCACTCAGGTTACTTGCTCTGAGCCACCTGGGCCCTGAAGTAGACATCTTACTGTCTTCTTTCCCTCTGCACCATGATTCCTTATCCTAGTGTAGTATATAGTATACTACGCCCCCAAGGCCTGTTATAACGTCTATCGCCCCGGCACACTAAGCGTCTGAAAGACGTCGCACATAGCTAAACGAAGGATGCATGCACATGCCCAATACCCCGTAATTAAGGAATATAGCTCAAATCATAATATGAATTCCCTTATAATTTAGGGTATTGGGCTCTCTGGGAACGCGAAGGGCTACACCTTTCTGAAGCTAATTATTGAGGCCCCTATACCATAGAACCCTACTATAGATCCCTTAAAGAGTCCTATAAAGGAACCCTATGATTCCCTAAAGGAACCCGAGGATCCCATAGGATATATCTTCTTGTTTATGGACTCTTGATGGCTTTCACATTCTGGGGTGTTTGTGATCAGGCTCATGGTTTTGAATTTAGCTTAGATCCCCAATACCCAAACTTTAACTTTTTTGGGGTTATTATAGTTCAGTAGGTATCGGAAAGTTTAACCTTATATTTCTGTGGCTTATTGGGGGAGTAAGTTAGGGTGAGGGGTTTGGGGATTTCTGTAGGAACCTGATTCAGGAAAAAGCTTGGGCCTTTATTAGGGTTCTTTATTATGAACCCTACTATTTTGGTGTTACAGGCCCAGGGTTTCTTAATCAGGTTCCTACATGAGGCTTTAGACCCAGAGAGCCCCAAACCCCCTAAATTAAGGAATATAGCTAAATCATAATATGAATCCCCGTATAGTTGCCAAAGCCCGGTAGCTGTTGAGGTAATGTCTAACCCCTATAGGGGGGGCTAGATGATCCTTCCACCGAGCAACAGATTAACTTCATATTGGGCCAGAGTACTCAGCCCCAAAGCCTTTGCAGGACGTGATCTGCAACTATGGCGGAGAGCATTTGAGCATGGTTTTTATCGGTGTCTCGGTTGCATACTTGCCTAAACCCCTAAACCCTGAACTTGAGCCCCCAAAACCCTGCAACCCTAAACCCAGACCCTTTAGGGCACTCCTTCCTGGTTCCTGGCAGAGTCGACGGTTTGTTCTTCGGCTTGAGGCTTTGGGCTTTAGGTTTAGTTCTACAGAGCGGGTTCTTGAAGGGTTCTATACGGTTTCGGGAAGGCTTACAAGGGTATGGTTCCAGGGGTTGCATGAGGTTTTAGAGAGTGGGTTCTGCAAGGGTTCAGGTTTCGTAAGGGCTTCACATAGGTTTCGGTTTTGGCCGTTTCTTCACTGCTCCAGCGCTTGGTTTGGAGGCAAGAGGGGGCTTAGGTTGTTGTTTTGCTGAGGGTCTGTCGGAAAGGCTGATGGTTAGTCGTTTGTTTCAGAGGATTTCCCGATCCTGGAGCAAGATATAAAGTTGGAGTAGTCATAATAATGCCAGACCTCGCAAAAGTTGTAATCTTTACGTTAGAAGCTGCCCCCACCCTGTAATAGTGACTACAAGGATTATATTAAGGCCCTATTATATTCCTATTTTACAACTATTACAGGGTGGGGGCCCCTTCTAATGTTTACGACAGTTGTAAGGGAATAGGCCCCAAGAGCCTATTCTAGTCAGCCAGGCTTCCATAGTAGATGCTCGGCCTGAAGTGCCCACGGATTCGATTCGAAGGTTATAAGGAAATCTTAAAACGGTTTAGGGTTTAGAGTTTAGGAGGAGCCACGCAAGGAGCCCTCCATGTACGGTTCTTAGATGTGAGAATTACCCTAAGTCGGGGGTGACAAGTAAATGCATAGCCCGACTGGGCCAGACGTCTGACTCTTTGGTACACAGCACTAGGGTTTAGGGTTCGGACGCCCCAAGCCCTAAGCCTAAACCCTAAAAGCAATGATCTAGAAGATGGCTTCGGGTTTTGCTGATGAAGAGGGCCCCTAAACCCTAAACCCTAGACCCTAAACCCTAAACCCTAAAACCTAAACCCCGCCTGGAAGTTGAACTTCTCGCGCCACTGTAAACCCTAAACCCCAACCCGGCCCAAACCCGACGACAGTCACCGACTAGGATGCCCAGTAGTACCCTTATTCCCTTTTTGTAGTCCTAGGTTTCTTATAAAGTTACCCAATACCAAAAAGAGAGGCCTTTTTATTCTTAGGTTGCTGGGTATCCTAGCCGAGGGTTGGTGTCAAGAGTGAATCTTCACCCCCCTCCCGCCCCAAACTGCCAGCACCCAGGGAGCATCAACTGCGTGTTGCCGATCGGCTTTCTTGCAGCATGTGCCATGGATCGCAGAGACAGGGGAGGTTCTTAAGCTTCGGGAGCCCTTTGTTCAGGGGCCTTCACAGGCAGGTGTAACGGCTCCTACTATGAATGTTGGTGATCTATACTAGGAGCCCTCATTTCCCAAGACCTCAGATGGACATGAATGAGCCTTAGACTCAATCCTCATTGTCTGAATTCATGACAACTCTAGACCCCAACCTCAACTATTCTGCAGCCTTCGCCATCATAAATCCTAAACTTGAACTAGGGGCAGTGGTGTCGGAGAAGGCTCAGGAGGCACAGACCAAAGTGCTGCTGATGGACATATTCCTGCCAGCCGACACCAGCCGAGATCCCCAATACCCAACCTTTAGACTTTTTGGGTCCTTATAGTTTAGCAGGAGTCGGAAGGTTTAACCTTCGATTTCTGTGGCTTATCGGGGGAGTAAGTAATTTTCTGCCTGCCGATACCAAAGTTCCGTTAGTTTAAGGTCCTTAAAGTATGATGGATTTGCTCATGAGCTTTAGCACCACGACCCAGGTTCCGTAAGGGAGATTCCAGGCATGACAGCGTGAACATTTTCACTTTTCTAGAATGCTCGTCTGAGTGGTAAGTTGGGATCTATGAGTATCTGTGCAAACCCGGATAGAATATAGCGCTTAGTGTCAAGGTTTAGGATTTAGAGCTTCGGGTTTAGGGTTTCGGGCTGGGCTGGGAGGGCTTCGGCACATATTAAATAGCCACATAGGAACAATAATGAAATACTACTACTGTACTCACCATTCGGAGACCGATGTTACTAACTAGGTTAGTGGTACTATCAGTCCGAGATTATGGTTTCGCGTTGCAAGATTTGGCCGTCCGTCAGCAGAACTGCCAGGTTTGTTTCTTGCATGTTCTAACCCCAAACCATACATGAACCCCTCAGCAATAGGATTTGTTTCTGTAGCCCCAAAACTCCAAGTACCTAGTAACCCTATACTCTCCCAAATATGAGCCTACATAACTACTATCCTCGATCTTTTGGACCCTCGGGGCAGGCTTCTGGGAACAGTAATCCAGGACGCAGCAGGTATCCGGGCTCACATCTGAAAGGAAGTCTCGGAGGAATCCTGCGAGGAAACGGTTGATGATTTAAATCCTGCATTACCCATAATAAGGAATATATGGGGATTATGGTATATTCCTTACTAGTCATGCAGGATTTATATCATCAACAGAAATCATGAAGGAACCCTTGGAGGAAACCTCGGGAGCTTGCAGTTCAGGTGTTTGGGTGCTTTGCGCAGAGCTCCCCAAGCGCAGCTGGGCTGCAAATCGGGGTGGCCTTCATACACAACCCCGTTTAGGGTTTAGGGTTCTTAACCCAGAGGGTCCATATATACTACCAGTATGGAGTTCGGTCCCAAAAGACCATCCCCATTATGGTTCTTGGGACCTGATTCCGTAATAGTACTGTATATGGACCCTCTTGGTAAACTCTACCTTATCGGGCTCCATTACCAAAAACCTGTCGCGTGCTGCGGAGTTCGGGGCTACATACGGCTAGTCAACTGCTTGTCGGACGGTAGAGTTCGGTTCTCCAACACATAACATTTGGATACATTAGGTGTTCCGGGTTGTTACAGCATTAGTAGCAGTGTCATTCCGAAGGTGTTGGAGTTGGTTTGGAAGGATTGTAACCATAGTTTTGGCGGTGAAGCTGATCTACAATACCTGCGCTGAACACCGAACACCCTAAACCCAAAACACAACAGAACCCCAAGGCCGCAAAAACCCTCAACCCTAAACTCTAAGAGCCTGCTCTAACGGCAAGAGCTCAGATCTCTGAGCTTGGGCTTCGTGACAATGGTTTCTCGTAATGTGAGAGAAAGACTACACTTTCCTTGTTCTGTTCTTCAGGGTGTAGGGTTTAGGGACCAACACCCAAAGGTGAGCTTGGGCTTTCAAAATGGGAGTTTCCAAGAAATTAGAGGTACCTTATGTTGGGGTCCTTATCATAAGGATCCTACTATCTAGGGCACTCAGGGTGCCATTGGAACATATTAAGGTCCCCTGTCTTCGGAAACTCTCAAATTGCAAACCTTTCAAAGTGTTGGGGTGATATACCATTATCACGGCTATGGCTACGTCCCAAGATCCGTGAAGTAAGGCCCAACAAAGGAGGTGTAGGTGTATCGGTGTATTGTTCAGGGGTATTAACCTAGTAGCAGAGTAGGTAACCTTTAACCTTTCTTGGGTAGTATAGTCCCTATATAATCCCTATATAAGCAATAAAGGTTAACCTTTAGTTCCCCATGGTACTCGACAAGTAGGTTAATGGTTCTGGTTCTACGGGCTTAGATCCCGAGAGTCGATTCGCGAAACAGTAAGCCGCAAAAAATGCTAAACCCTTGGAGCCGTAAGCTTTTCCCTAGGGATCTAATGACTCACATATTGAGGCTTTTGGGCACAAAGACCATACTATATCAGGCTTTTGGGCTGTTTTGTGTTTTACATCCCGAAAGATGAACCCCTGACCCATAACCCTAAGGCCGAAAAACAGTAGCTTTGCAACGCCTTAAGCCTCAACCCCGCCCCACTACGAAGAGTTGATTTCCCGAGGAATCATGATCGCGGATATGAAGCTTCCTGGTCAGCACTCAAAAATCTGAATGCAAGTAATATCGACTTGGGTTTTAGGGTTTTGGGTTTAGGGTTCTGTAAGTTCTGTAAGGGCATGAAAGGTTCTCGATTGGGTGGGTATGGGCACGCCCGAACAACACAGCGCCGTAGGCAAGACACAGACCTGTTTATGGTGTAATTGCCACTTTACCGGGGTTTCGGTTTCGAGAGCAGGGTGCACTTGTTTTTCGGTTCGGAGGGGGAGTGGTGGGGGGGTAGGGCAAGACCTAAACTCTACCGAAGCCTTCGAAATCCTCCTCAGATATCCTCCGCAATTCACGGTATAAGGCGGAGAGGCCGAATTAGCTAGACCGGGCTTTGGGCAGCTCTTTGGGTTACGGGCTGGTGGTATTAAAGGGACTAGGGTATAGGGTTTTGGAATTAAGGCGTCCGGGCACCCTCCTCATGTTTAACTACTTGCCGAGCAGGTGAGGGAGTTAGGGTTTAGGGTTTAGGGTTTACATGTTTGCTCGGGCTTCTACTATGAAGGGTCGGAATGATTGCCAACAGAGTTGCTAGGGTTCTGTATTCCTTTTGTCAACTTACAATTGTCATACAGGTACCCCTAAACTCTAGTCCGGATTATGAACGAAGGACCCTCGTAAACTCTATGTTGACAGTTGAACCGCACCGTAAGGATCAGATGTACCTCCTAAACCCCCGGAGCCTGTAGCCACTAACCAAGAGCTACGACAGCTAAGATTAGTGAAGCCCTAAGCCCCAAACACGAAAACCTAGAGCCCAAGCCCCCAAACCCAGAACCCTAATGGCCTGAAGAACAAAAGCACCTTACCCTTTAAACTGCTAAGTCACAAAAACCCTCAAAGCCTACACCCAAATCCTAAGCCCTAAACTAAACCCGCTTGGGACAGTAACGGCAAGCCGCTTGAAGATCAGAGATTTCGCATCTCGAAGATCCAAACACTTGAGGATGGCCGCCTGGCCCGCCCTTTACACACCCCAAGGGCCAAGGGCTTTTAAGTACCCATATGGGAGTTTGCGCAAATAGCGGACCTTGATAGTACCCTAAATAGTAGGATCCTTACTCTAAAGACCCCACAGTAGGGCAACCCTCACCGTCGGAAACCCCCATACATTTACATGTAGGGTTTCTATAGTAGGACCTACAAAGTACTGGCTCACCAACTGCAGCTGCGCTCCGACAACACGCTAGGTACATACCTAGAGTCTCCATTGTAGTTCCATTTTTGATTAACCAAAATCTCTATTATAGGATCCTAAGCATAAAACTGGTCAACCAAAAAGGGAACTACAATGGAGACTCTAGGTAATGACCCCTAAGCCGCACATCCACATTCAAACCCAAGTTTATCACCCAGACCCGAAACCCTAAAGCCTAAATCCCTAAACCCCAAACCCCTAAACCCTAAATCCCCAAATCCCCAAGACCTTAACCCAAGTTTAGCAAGCTAAGCCTGCATTTTCTCCGCAGAGGTAGAACCCATGCGATCGATAGGTCCCATGCAATCTTCTGCTGTTGCCTCACCCAAAGGTCCTATGTTCCGATATAGTAGAATGTAGGGTTTTCATATTAAGAACTACTATTATGACTTAGGGAAGTATCCCCCATAACGGTACATAGGACCCTTTGCGTCAATGCCCGATCTTACAATTGGGGCCCTAAGCGCCGCTATCATGGGCGCCTAAAAAAGTAAAAGCATTGCCCAGTACGAGAAAACCCGTGCAAAGCCTTATGCAATACACGGTCCTGTAAAACCTTACCCCCAGGCTGTAATTACGTGTATATATATATATATATATATATGTATGTATGTATGGATGGATGGATGGATGGATGGATGGATGGATGGATGGATGCATGTATGTATGTATATAGATATATATATATATATATATATATGTATGTATGTACTTTTATGTTTGGCAGGTTCCTGTATAGGGAGACTAAAGCCTAAGCATACACCTTTTTGGTACATGGAGCCTCAGGGTTTGAATTCCAAATCCAAGCCTTCTACTTGGAGGATCATGGGACTTAGTAAGTAAGGTTATAAGTACCTTAATTGGGGTTGTAAGTAGTTATAAGTATATAGTTACCCTGATTATAACCCTAGTTACTAAGTCCCATGATCCTTTAAGTAGCTGTTGGGCGCTTCGGAGGTTTGTACGAGCTTGCGCCTTTCTGCTGCTCCGCTTTCGGCCGGGTCAGGGCACTGTGACAGCTGCTTGGCAGAGGTGTTACCCTGGGCATCAAAAGCCTTATATAATATGGTCTTTGGGCCCAAAAACCTTAATGCATGAGTCCTTAGATGCCTAGGGCTAGGGGGTTTGGCTGATGAGGCCAACACCCTCCTGGTTTGAAACGTTTTAGGGCTAGGTTCTATAAGGCTTCCAGAGAAGGTGCACAGCTGGCGTGCCCTAAACCCTAACTGTTCTAGGCACATTGGGTTTTCGATGGTGTTGCTTCGCGCTGTTGCTTTTGCTGAAAAGGCTTGAGATGATTGCATGTTCTCTCGCAAAGTGTGTGTTTTTTCCTGTCGGTGTTGGACGGGGCATGCTGTGTGGAATGAGATCTGAGTTTGCTGCGCAACTTCTTGCAGAAGTCAAAGGGTCCCCTTGACTTGGATGGCAGAACGGTCGGGCTTTTGGGTGTCATAGTTTGCCTTCGCAGGGCTCTCACCAATGATTTGGCCCCTGTAGGACCCAGCAATCAACCGATCATCTGAAACTTTGGTGGTCCCCAAGGCAGGTGTGAGTCAAGCCCCGAGCGGATGGGATACTGGCACAAGCCCTACCCTGCTGTAGCCCCTTAACGTAGACCATCCTAAGGCCCAACCCCTAGTTAGGTTCCATGTACCAAGATATGGGAACTTCCAAAATTAGGGGTACCTTATTTTGGGGTCTTTATAACAAGGAACCTACTATTTAGGGTATTGTATTGGGGTCCCCTATTTTCGGAAACTCCCATATTTTCTCCCAAATGCGAGCCACCATATCTACTCTACACTGTATCGATGGTTTGTTTTTGTTTGGCCTTCTAGGGTCACATCAACTCAAGTCAGGAATTCGTGGGTCCTTTGGACTCTCAGGGTCACATCCACTCAAGTCAGGAATTTGTCTGTCCTTTGGACCCTTAGGGTAACATCCACTCAAGTCAGCAATTCGTGTGTCCTTTGGACCCGTAGGGCAACATCCACTCAAGTCAGGAATTTGCGTGTCCTTTGGACCCTGAGGGTAACATTTACTCACCCCAGGCGCTTTATTTGGTCCGGAACGTGCTGATCTTGATGTGCCCGCTGGTGCCAACAGCTGCTGGAAAGGTGGCCTCGGGTTCAGGGGTTCCCTTCAAAGGAGCCCTTAAAGGAACCCTTGAATCAAAGGAGCCCTCAGAGGAACCCTTAGAGGAACCCTTAAAAGAGCCTTAAATAAAGGAGCCCCTTCGAGGTTCCTGTCAGAGAATTGTTAAACGATACCATGGGGGTTCCCATGGTTGGCACCATTATCAGGCTGCTGTAGTAAGTAAGAGTACCATAAGTCTACCATATGGGTTTCGGGTTTTGGGCTTACCTGGACCCTTGATTGTACGTAGTTGTTTGGATAACCTGCTTTATGGTTAGGCTCTTATAGTCATCAGGAGATTCGTTAACCAAACAACTCTTACATGTTCCGAACTAGATAGAGCTTACGTTAAACTGCCATAGCCTACTTTTGTATGTAGGCTCTGCTTATGCGCAGTATGTTTTGATAGGGGGTAGGGTTGCCCGAAGATCCATATTCCCGAACAGTGTATCCCTTTGGCATTCTGGTGGTCGATTTGGGTACATGGACCCTTAGGGTTTGGGGCCTAGGTTTCTTGCAGTGCTTTCTTGCTTGGGGGGCTCTGGGTTCTGCGCGTAGCAGTGGTAGAATCTAGAAAGTCGATAGATTCAGGATTTACAGAGTTTAGGGGGTTTAGGGTGTATACGTGCACAGCGCTCACAATGTTGGGCACATGTCGATGTAAAGATTTGTTTTCTGTCAGCAGCTAACTACTAAGTTCATTGCTAAGATGCTGAGATTTGCAAGGGCCATACGTGCAATTTGAGCCTCAGCCCTACACCCAGAATCCTTCACTTCGTCCTGGACTACTAGGATGCCCAGTCGTACCCTTATATTCCCTTTTTTGTAGTCCTAGGTGCCTTATAAACTTACCCATTACCAGAAAGAGAGGCCTTTTTATTCTTAGGTTACTGGGTATCCTAGTATAGATCCCTTTAAGGAACCCCAAAGTAGTTCCTTTTTGGGATTACCTAATAGAATTCTATATATGAACCCCTTTTTGTTTTTATTCTTAGGTTACTGGGTATCCTAGAGACCCCGAGAGCTGGAAGCCCCAAACAGCTGAAAAGCCTGGGCCTGGACACTGTGGGAAAGAATAGGACAGCTCATTAAAGAAGCACACTTAAACCAAGGTTTAAGGGTTTGGGGTCTGAGGGTTTAGAGATGTAAACAACGCATAGAAGACATATCCACTTGGGTTTGCTAGAGGTTCAGAGAGTTCAGCACAGGGTCCATGATTATGTGGTACTTGGACCATTTGGGTAGTTGTCAATATTATGGTCTTTTTTTGGGTAATGTTGACCCCTGATAAAAATAACCCCCCCCCCCGGCCCCCCCCCCCCAAGGTTGTCAAGGTCGCAGGCCCCCCACAGGATCACAGACCCCCAAATAATCCCGTGAAGCCAAATTGCAGTAAACAGTGGTGCTAGTAGTAGTAGTCGTAGTAGCAGCAGTAGTAGCGGCAGTAGCAGTAGCAGTAGCAGTAGCCCTTGAAAGAACCGCTTGAAAGAGGACAAGACGCCCTTTAAATGTAGTCTTGCCCCCTTTAAAAGTAGTCTTCGAAGCACTTTTTGAAGTTTTAGATCCCCAGACGGTGTTGCCTTTAATCGTGGGGGGTTTTCTGCAAAAAACGATCCTTATTTGGGTGCTGCCTTTAAAGTAGTACAGATTGGGGCCGGAGCCGCCCGCAGGCCGCCTTTAATCGTAGGGGGATTATTAATCCTAGGTCAACATTAGCCTAAATATTAGGTGCCGTACTATCATAAGGACCCAAAAAGGGATCCTAATTTTGACAACCACCCATTTGGAAGAAAATGGGCAGGTTCTCAGCATGAACCTCCTGCTCTATGTCAGCTTATTGCTTACCGCCTCGGGAAAGCCGTGGCGGAACATGACCTGTACCTTGGGGCATTTAACGCAAAACCCTGTATTCTCAACCCTATAACCGAGCCACATACCGCAAACTCTAAACTAAACTTGCCTCCGCCCCAAACTTGTGGACTTGGGGTGGGGCATTTACGTTTCACGACACAGGTCTCACAGGACTGCAGGTTCAGGGTTTAAGTAGGTCTGTCGGGCTTTCTGTGTTCCGGACACTTTCGATATTCATTTTGGCCTCTGTAGAAATACTTGATAATTTTCGGTGGTTCGGTGGTGGGTATGTAGAGCGAGAGAGAGGGAGCGAGATGGACAGAGAGAGAGAGATATAGAAATACTTGATCTTTTTCGGTGGTGGGTATGTTGAGCGAGAGAGAGGGAGAGAGATGGACAGAGAGAGAGAGAGAGAGAGATATATATATATATAATTATATATATACTGAGTATACTGAGAGAGAGAGAGAGAGAGAGAGAGAGAGAGAGAGAGAGAGAGAGACAGGTAGGGAGAGAGAGAGAAAGAGAAGAGAAAAGAGAGAACCGAGAAGAGGGAAGGGAGCCGAGAGAAGACAGATAGAGCGAGAGCTCGTGAACCGCCTACCTGCACATAGCTCAGCGCTACGACGTGGAGGTTCACACCGAGCCAACAGAATGGCCAAGTGGCGGCACGGAAGGAATTTGCAGACAGTCGGAGGAGGAGCCCTTGTCGCGGGGGTCTGACGCCCTGTGGAAGAAAGAGAGAGAAAGAGAGGATCAGGGACGTAGCCTGATTGTAGGCTGTAGGTATCCTAATTCGTGTCATTCCGCTTCCCCTAAGGCCAAACCCTAAGGGTCCAAAGTACCTTTATAGTAGAATGTAGGGTTTCTATATTAGGAATTACTATTATGACTTGGGAAAGTATCCCCCATAACAGTACCTAGGAACCTTCGGGAAAAGCACCATTGAGTCGAAGCCTCCAGGGCTCTAATGCGCTAGTGCAAGCTCTTGTCGTGCGACGCCCACGAGGCCTGGATCAACAACTCCAAAACGCTAGACACTGTGCGGAACTACGTTTCCGGCAAACTGCACCTACAACACAATAAGTAAGTTCCGCAATGTCCAGTTTTGGGGTTCATGAAGGGGAGCTCTTGCAATTACAGAAAACAGCACTCTCTACAATTAGGGGTTACTCACCAGAAAAAGGACCGTAGTGAATGTGGCGGGGGTCTAGGCTAGTTCGGCCGTTTTGAGCTCCATCATATCGATAATCGCAACAACATCGGGTTTCAAGCCTTCAGCGCGACAAGCCAGCTTACAGGAACTTACGACCATATAAGACTGCAAGTGTGGAACCTTTTCGTAGTACCCGGCTTTTGGCGAATTGAAATGTCCAGCAGCTGCCTGTTATATAAGACACCTGATCCGCCAAAAGCCGACAATGAACTTGAACTTACAGTTTCGGAAGCTATGGTTCCTATGATGTATTGTCTGCAGTAGCAGCGCCCCACCAACCAAACCCGATAATCACCACACTGTCAAACATGTGCAAAACCCAACAACTTTAAGAGACTGTGTATCCCTTACAGTAGAAGCCAGAAAGTTGGAACATCATCAGCCTCATGCCCTTAAAGTAAAGCATAGGGAATGCCAGCATAAATCATCCTTAATCTATGTTCCAACTTTCTGGGTTTCACAAACCCTTTAGAGCAGGTAGTTGTGCCAGGCATGAGCAGGTTTCTATTAATGCTGCTTTCGCCTTACAGACAGATGTCACCCTTGATTTAGGGTTTAGGGTATAGGGTTTAGGGTCTTCATGGATGTGAACATCAAAGCAGCAAAGCCGAAACCACCCGAAACCCGACATCATGTACCCTTGATCCGTAAGTCCTTACACCTTAAGCCCCAAGCCCTGAATTTAAACCCCTAAGCCCCGTAAGCCCTAAACTCCTAAAGCCTTAAGTCCTAGACCCAAACGAGCCCTTAGATGAACGTTTCCCAAACCCTAAACCCTAAACGCTAACCTTCAAAAGCCGCTTAGTACGTCCCTAAGGCAATTGTCTGGATTTCCAACCAACCCTCTAATATACCGGAACCCTCATAATCCCTTTTAAAGCAACCTAAACCCCCAAACCAGAGTCACTCCCCAAGGCAATTTAAACCAATTTTAAAAATTTCAGCAAAATCACCAAGGCAATTTTCTAGATATCGGCCTCGTCTCGGGCATGTTGATTTTGCTGGACATGGGCTCGCTGTCCGTTCAGGAGCCGAGGTTTCACTATAAGGGCCTTACTAATTAGAGTAGGGTGTCCTTTAAAGGGTTGCTTTTCAAGGGGTCGATAAGGCGTACTACACGGGCTATTAGTTATGGGGGTTTGGTATAGAGGCCTTAGTAATTGGAACAGGGTTCTGGGGCCCGCTATACTATAAATTGAACAAGGAACCCCCAAAATAGTATTAGTAATTATTTCGGCCCCTACATTAGGTTGGGGTTCAAAGGTTTAGGGTTTGGGGTGTTGGAGGTGTAGAGTCTACCTAAGCCCAGAGGTCTAAGCCGTTTCAAGGGCCTAGATGTTCAAGGCACAAGGTTGAGGGTGTCGTATGTGGACATTTGGAGGTTCAGGGGTAGTTGTAAGTGGGGTTATAAGTAAGGTGACTAGATTTAATTATTAACTGGACATATAACGCGCCACTTAAAACTACCCATGAACCTCCAAGCAGTTTTACGGCTTCGCTGCCGTCACCTAAGCCCGAGCCTTAAAGCCAAAGCCCGAGATCGGTTTAGGATGTACCTGGACCATAAATACTCACCTTTTCAAGGACTTATATAACCTAGCAGTAGAGTAAGGCAACCTTTAAGCTTTTTTGGGTATAGTCCCTATATAATCCTCATATAACTGAAAAGGTTAACCTTTCGTTCCCCATGATACCCGACAAGTAGGATCAGGAACTCATAATCAGGAACCCTGAAAAAAGGGAGGTTCTTCAGGGTCCAGGCAGGTTTAGGAACTCTTGAAACCTTCCAACGGCCAAGCCCGGGTTCCTAAACTCACATGGAACGCTTCGTACGAGATGCTGGATTTTGGCCTCAGAGGATGAATGCAGTTCGTTTTGGGTTTACAAGTGATTGGAATTGTTGTTGAATTTGCGCTTCAGAGCTTGCGGCAGATATTTAGGGCGTAGGGTTTAGAGTTTAAGCTTCCTGCTGATCGAGCTCGGCACACTTACGAGGAACATGGCGACGGTATTTTGAAACCCTGCACCCTAAGCCCTCCCCATACAGCCCCCGTTCTGCCATTTTCTCGCGCAGCCATATTCTAGTCCATGGAGTCCATACCTGTGTACAGGAACAGGGCCGTTCTTCAAACCCGAAACGCTAGAGCCAAGCCAAATCAGCCGGAGCAACAGATCTTGGGAAGGTCTAGGGGGCTTGGTTCAGGCGTATTATCGAAGCCTCTATAGTGTGCTTAGCCCAAAGGGTCCAACGTAGCTCTATAATATAGCAGAATGTAGGGTTTCTATAGTACAGCAACCCTACCCCAAACCCTAAGCCCTAAACCCTATAACCCTCAACCTCAAACCTCGAGGCCTCCATAAGATAGGTTACCCTACGTGTTTGGCGTTGTGGGTAAGCCCCTGAGCTGGCTCGTCAGTTGGGGTCGGGTTTAGGGTTTTGGTTTTGTGGAATATGGGATTTATTTAGGTTTCGGTTTTTTGGGCTTAGTTAGTTTAGTGTTTAGAGTTTGGGGTTTAGGGTTGTGGAGGGCTATAGGTAGTCCTATGTACTGCTCTGTATTCAGTACGTGGGGGTGCTAGCTGCAGCCAGGCGTGTACTTGCCACAGTTCTGAGCTACGTACTCACCAAGTCCGGTTCAGAATTTAAGAGGGTTTATGGTTTAATCCGTCCGGCAGGAGAGGCAGACGCAAACAACTACTGCGATTGCCACGGCCGCACAGCTAGCATAGCTTGCGAGTTTTATATAACTGTAGAACTGTAGTACACCGTAGCACAATGTCACCAAAGACTTGTCCAGGCCCCTATATTCAAGTTGTTATGTGTTGCTTGAGAGGCGGGTTCAGGCAATTCTGGGATGTACTTCCTATGTGGGCACGTTTACGGCCCATTTATATACTGACTACATGGGTGTATGGAGCCGTAAGGTTTTGGGGTTTGCGGATACCGAGGTTTCGGTCGGTGTATGTGGGTCTTTCTACTTTGTGACTTGTTTCCCGCAGGGTCCATGTGCTCGAAAAGCATTACTTTCAGTCCGAAGTATACCCTAAGCCCGGTAAAACCCCTCAAGAAGAGCCTTAAAGCAACCTCAGTATGTGCATAAAGGATCATGCTACTCAGCAATTAGGGTTGTGAGCAGTGTACCTAGGCTAGTGATCACTTTCAACCCCAATTAAGAGACCTACAACCTTACTTACTAAGTATCAGTCCCATGATCCAAGTACGTACACCACATCACCGCAACACAGGATTTCATGAGAGTCGCCAGGCCACGTGGCTGTTGTTTTTACCAGGGTTTAGGGTTTAGGGTTTTCGATGACACTGAGGAATAGCTGCTGTTGTGGTTCCTGTGCCCTGAGCAACAAAGTCTCTTGTTCTTATTCTACTTTTCAGTCTTAATCCCTACTCCCTTGCCCTGAATTGGACCTTAAGTTAAGTTACCCTCTAATTTTCGGAAACCGGATTGCGAGCATGTACTATAGACCCCGCATTATTGTAGTTTAGGTTGAAGCCTTAAACCTAACATCCAACGCTCTCCAAAACCCTGCAAAACATGTAGACGAACTACTGCCGCATGCTCAAGGTCAGCTTTTCATTGATGACCTCTGCGGCTCTTTTCGCCTCTGCGTTCGGCATTATCAGGCACTCCCATTGCCAGTGTTTCATAAGCGTTTCAGGATGGCTTGACCAGGGCTTAAGTTGGTTCGCAGGCTTGTAAACCCCCCAATCCTCAAAGCCGTGAACCATTAAACCCTAAAGCCCTAAACCCGATAGGTTGGTCGACTATGTGGCCGGCAGTTCTGTTCATGAGGGCATCGTGCCAGCAGGGTTGTTGCGGTTCAATCCTCCAGGCTTTCTTCAGAGTTTACCTATGTTTACCTTGTTTCCCGAATCGCCTACCTGTCTAAGGACTTAGAAAATGGAATCGTATTAAGGAGGCCTAACAAGGAGAGCCCAAGTAGGTTTAGGATGAAGTGCCTAGGGTTTTAGGCCGTATGTGCTTGCTCGAAATTTTTATCTTGGCCTATCAGCTTGTCGTAATCTTTTAGTATATCTTTGCAGGTTTTTCCTGTAATGGTTTGCGTTCATACCGTCGTTCGGTTGTTTGTGATGCTTTTTTCTCTTTTAGTGGGGGTTCAAGTATCTCTAAGCTCTCCGCCATTCTCGCAGGAATGTATAAACAATTGCGGTGAGTGTATGTAGGGTTCCTCAGGTGGCTTAGATCTTGGAAATCTTCACGACAAACACTCTGCATCGGTACGGTCTTTGCATTGCTATTATAACTATCGCGGCCATGCTCCTGGAACTCGGCCACGGCAATCTTCTCGAATAGCTTGGCCACAGACCGGAGGTGTCCTCAGTCCGTGGCCGTTTCAGAGGCACTCGCACGGCGCGGAGCCTGTGACTCGTCACAGAAGCGAGATGTTTCTGCACCTGCAACCGCCGCGTGCACAGCGATCTCAAACCCGAAAATCTGCCGACGGAAGCAGTGGTTCAAAAAGGCCGCGACTTCGGCTGTCGAAAGGCCAAAATTGCCAAAGGCGAGAAAGCCGACCGCATGGACCTTGGGGGAAGCATGCGATTCTGTGCCGTCTCAAATGGCTGACATCGGCTCCATGTTGAATACCACCTGCTGAGGTGATGATGAATTAGGTGGCATTTTGGCAACTTTCGGGTTTCTCTCATTATGTTATGGAGAAGGGTATATACCTTAGATCCCCAATAACCAAACTTTAGACTTTTTGGGTTCTTACAGTTTAGTAGGAATCGGAAAGTTTAACCTTTTATTTCTGTGGCTCATTGGGGGAGTAAGACCATAGCGACCGGGGTGCCGTTGAATTACGACTCAGGGGTATCTGTAAGTAGTCAGTCGTCGGAGGTCTGAGGTTCAGGTTTTCGGGTTTTTGTAAGGATTCGTTCTTGAAGGCTTCACATCCAAGCACCTTCATTGGTTACCGAGTTGGGTTAGTGTTGAGCTCCTATATTGGCTTGTTTCGATCTAGAACCCTTACTATATTTACATAAACAGACAAATGCATATGGATGCGTGCTTTTGAAAGCAGAACTTACCCTGAAATACTTGTTTACCTTAAACTCGTCACCCCTAAAGCAGTTGCTTCATATAGGGGCGTATACTATTTTGGGGGTTCCTTATTATAACTATGGAACAATGGGCCTCATAACCCTATTGTTGTTTTAAGGCCCCCCATACTAAGCCCCCATAATACCCCCTATAGTACTCCTTGTAGACCCCCCTATATTATGGCTCAGGGCTGTTGGCTCATGGCTCTTGGAGCCGCAGACATTTTCAATGTCAGCCGTCCTCAAGGGAGTATACTACATCATCGTATAACAGAACACCATGTTATGTTACATCATAGGATATTTATAGTTGTGGTACATTGCATTCTAGAAACGTTTTAAGTATAGTATACTCCGCAGAGAAGTATGCAAGGGACGAAGCTGGATTTAGGGGAATCTCAGATTTGTCGTTGTAAGCGGCTGGGATGTGGGGTTTAGGGTTGTAGGGCTTCAATGGTGGGAATCCAGCGTTGAAAGACGTCAGGGGTGGGAATTCAGAGCCTAGGGTAACCCAGTTTGCAGTCTAGGGTTTCATGCTCACTAGGATGCCCAGTAGTACCCTTATTCTTTTTTTGTAGTCCTAGGTTCCTTATAAAGTTACCCAATACCAAAAAGAGAGGCCTTTTTTGTTCTTAGGTTACTGGGTATTCTAGCTGAAGTGGTTCCCTGAGACTCGGAAGTCGATTAAGGTAGAAGCCAGAAAGTTGGAATATGATTATCCTAACCCTTCTATGGTAAATTATAGGGTATCCTACCATGAAACCATACTCCAACTTTCTGGAGTTCCCTTTAACCCCAAGGGTCCATGTGCGGATATAGTATATACACGTGCTTTAACTGCTTTAATTCACTAAGTTCCTGAGTGACCCCTTACTAATATTGTGCGCTTGTTCCTGCTTTCGGTTTTAATAGGGGGATACCAAAAAAAACAAGTGCCAAAGAGTAGCTTAGGGTTTAGGGAAGTTTAGGGTTTAGAGAAGTTTAGGGTTCAGGGTTTAGGGAAGTTCAAGGGTGTAGGGTGTAGGGAAGTTCGGTTTAGGGTTTAGGGAAGGTTAGGTTTAGGTTTTAGGCAAGTTTAGGGTTGAGAGTTTAAAGGTTGATTAGCCCTAAACCACCTAAACCCTATAAACCCTAATCCCTAAACTCTAATCCCTGAAGCCCTTGAAGACAAAAACATCTCAGCCTCCATGAATTTTTGGACCCCCCCTAAACCGCCGTAAACCCTAATCCCTGAAACCACTTACCAACAAGATCCAGGTACTTTTGGATGAAGTTCAAGAAGCCTTTCAACTTCTTCCTGTGTCACCACAAGGTGCTGCCTAAAGCTTCAGCATTTTGCGGGTTCCCTTTACTCAGGCTTCTGAGGGCGTCCATTTAAGGGTTCAAGGTTTAACACGGCGTTTGATCTTCCGGGGCTAGGGGGTTTAGGCTTGTGTAAATCCTGAAGGATAGGTTTCTGAGCCCGAAGGATCCATGTGCCCAAATAGTATATTATATACTTTGGTCTTACCTTTAGGCTTCATAGTAGTTCCTTTTTGTGATTCATATTTAGAATCCTATAAGGTAATCCCAACAAGGAACTTCTATGGAGCCTATGGGTAAAGTATTCCCTATATAAGTAACATTGGGCCCAAAGTATATACTATTTGGGTACCTGGAACCTTTTGGCATGCTAATTCCGACGTCGGGGCAGGCTTCAGGTTTTTATGGCCCAGAGATCCCAGGTACTTGCAGGGCTTGCGGCTCAGGCAATTCGTTTCATCGAGGCATAGTAGGGCTTTAGGTTTTGAGGGTCCAGGATTGTTGGCTTAGTATGGTTTATGTAAGAGTTTAGGTTCCTCTAAACGGGATTAAACATGCGGGTTCCTTTAAAACGCTCTTTAATGCTGTTATAACTATAAGTGCCGTTGGGATTTAGGCATTTAGTGGTTTAGGGCTTGGAGTTTCGGGTTTACCCGGACCCCCGTGTGGCCCTTTACTGGAGCCTTGGTGGTCCTTAATAGTGGGTATTCTCGGGTATGTTAGCGGATAGTTGGGGGCCTAAGTAAGATGGGCTTTTTAAGGTTTAGGCTTCTATCAAGGATAGTTGGAGGATAGTTGAGGGGTCTAGGTAGGTAACCTTCAATCCTTTGGGGTTCTCACATGGTCCTACCATAATCAAAAGGGTTTACCTACTTTGGGCTAGGGTACTCAGCCTCTAAGAGGATTTAAGGTCTCAAAATGCAAACAGCCCGAATTAATATTACAATCATTACTATTACTCCAATTTTTTTTAGCATCACAAGCGTTGTCTTATTATTGCACTGTTGCGTTGTTACTACTAGGCTACTCTACCTCGACTGGGGCCTTGCTTTGGATGACCTACCCAAAGGGTCCTAGGTACTGTTATGGGGGATACTTCCCCAAGTCATAATAGTAATTCCTAATATAGAAACCCTACATTCTACTATAAAGGTACTTTGGACCCTTAGGGCTATTCTAATAGTTGTAACCGGAAAATCAGGTACCCAACACAGGGTACTGCATGTCAAGGTTTATGCATGTAGGGGTTTAAGGGTTTAGGGTATAGGGTCCTATAACCTCATTTTTTAAACTCTGCACCCTACCCGAATCCGAAAGCACCAAGGTCTTCCAGGGTTCAGGTAAATGCCCCGACCCGCGATCCCTAAACCCGAAACGTAACCTTTAACCTGTGAACGTGCAATAGATCCACTAAGCCTCAACTGCAACCTCTGAACTTGTAATAGATCCCTTTCTGAACTTGTAATAGATCCCTTTAAAGAGCCCTTATTACGTAGTAGAACCCCAAAACCCAAAGGGTCTTTTGTACTTGTGTGGGGGATACTTCCCTAAGTCATAACAGCAATTCCAAATATGGAAACCCTACATTCTACTATAAGGCTCCTAAGAGGGTCTTGGGCTTTCTGGGGGTTCGGCTTTGGGGGCTGGGATTCGGGATCTCACTACAAGGGTGCAGGAGCCTTAGGGTACTATATCGGTACATTCGACCCTTTGGGAAACGGAGCGATGAGCCTCCAATCAGGTTGCCACAGGGAGCTATGCCCGGCTCCTTAAGATGGAGCTTGACAAGTATGGCCACTGGGCTGAACTAGGATTTGGGGCTTACTTGGAGGGTCGGGGGACTTAGTAAGTAGGTAGTAAGTAGACTTAGAAGTACCCTAAAAGGGGCCCTACTTGGGGTTATGGTACTTATAAGTCCCTAAAAAAACCAGCTACTAAGTCACCCGACCCTCCAAGTACCGTAGAGTTCCAGGGTTAGGGTTTTACATGCACGGCTTCCGGGGCTGAATTAGGATTTGGGGTTGAGCTGTCAAGGTTTAGGGTTTCGGGGTTGCAGGTTAGCGTTAAGAACTGGGGCTAGCCCTATCCCTCCAGGGACCTTATTATGGGGTCCTTAAGGGGTCTAGGGCCCTAACTATGGCGTCCTTGGAGGGATAGGGTAGGGTTTTAGAGGTTAGGTGTTAGGGTTTAGGCTTTATAGGGGGTTTTGGGGTTTAGGGAAGATCCTTTGGCCCTAATTCCTAAGCCCTACAGGGCTTGCGCTAAGGGTCTCCTAGATTCGACGTAGGGTTCCTTTGGAGTTCCGCTAAGGGTCGATTTACCCAAAGAGTGTGGTACTTTGGCCTTATAGAGTAACCCCTGCATATTAGGGATCCTACTATAATTGAAGGTATATGCGTTAGTAAGGTTTATTGGAAGGTCTGGGAAGTCAACGAAGCCCAAATTACCCCTAAACCCTTCCCTAAGGGTCCATGTACCCAAATAGTATATACATTGGCCTTAATGTAGTCCCTATATAGGTACCTTGGGCCCAAAGCATATACTATTTGGGTACATGGACCTTTAGGGCTATGGAAGCACATCACCCCTCAGCAGCCTTATATCTCTCCTTGCGTTTCTCTACGGGTCTAGGTCCGTTTACAGTAAAGGTTTCCTTAAGCGTGCTGTAAGGGGTTCCCTTTAAGGGTACTGTAAGGAGTTCTAACGGTTTTACGGAGTTTTGGGTACTTAACCCCTCCCAGCCGTTGAAGGGCTCTTATAGGAACTCTTCTGGTATTTCTTTCGTAATCCTCCTCTTCAGGTACTTGGGCCTTCCTTGTTGAGCACCCCAAGCCGAAATAAGTGTTATTAGATAGAAGGGGCCCCCACCGTGTAGTATAATATGAATATAATAGGGCCTTGATACAATCCTTATAGTCACTATTACAGGGTGGGGGCAGCTTCTAAGCTATTAGGTACTTTATCTTCTATACACTACATATTCACATTCATACTGACATTGTTGTGCAGGTGTCTGCATATATATATATATACATATATACACACACATGTGCACATACATATACATACATACATATATATATATATGTACACATGTAACTTGTGTATACATAGGTCGTCTGGCTACCAATGTACCGCTCAGTTGAAAGTAGCAAGGCCTATCTGGCAGATGCACTCGAAACAAACCAGCACAAAATCCTTATCACAAGACGTTCCTGTATCCCCAAACTGGTATGTCATGGCGCCATAGTCATAGGATATATCATGCTGCCAACACCTGGCTCCCGGTCATAATGACCGTCAAATCGGACCCCTGCCCCCTCCAACAAACAACAGCAACAACAACAGCAACAGCAACAGCAACAGCAACAACAACAACAGCAACAACAACAACAACAACAACAGCAACAACAACAACGACGACAACACATCAAAGAAAGCGGACGTTCGCGCCTCGTACAGGTTATAGGAGCTTCATTGATTGCGACGACCTGCAGGCTGGTTTTGGCCAATGAGCTTTGCGGGATTCCTTTTTTATGGTTCTGTGAGTATCCCTCGGGTCGATTCTGCTGGGAGTTTCAGGAATCATACTCTAGTATTTTGAACGTGTGGGTCTGAAGTTTAGGAGATGAAAGAAGTAATTACTAGTTGAACAGTGCAGGATTTAGAGAGCTGGCTCTTCTTGAGCATGATTGTAAAGGGCTAAGGGTTTAAGTTTAAGGTTTAGGGTTGTGCAACGGCTGTACTGGCAACATCGGGACCTGCATTGCCCTGAAAGGAATCCGTATAGTATCCCATATCTGAACCTTCAGGGAGGCCCATCCCGCAATGGAACGGTTGATCATATAAATCCTGCATTACCTTAAGGACCCTAAACTATGGGAATTATGGTATATTCCTTATTATGGGTATTGCTGGATTTATATCATCAACCGGAATCATCATCACGGACCTTGAAGACAGCACTAAGCCAAAGTAAGACACCCCAAACACCTGACTTTCAACAAGGACCTTGTAGGGGCCTTTACAGTAACAACAATAGTAATACGAGCCCTGAGAAACCCTGAGTCCTAATGATGGTTTGACGAGTATGGTTTACGGTGTCTTCTACTTTGGCGCGGCTGTGGCGACTCTTTGATGGTCCAATGAGGTTGTGTGTCGCTCATGCTCCAGGGGGAAAGAGACTCTACGGGAGGGTTGTGTTTAACAACAAGAGTAAACAACACCAAACCCTAGGAGCCACAAACGGAACCCTTAATTAAACCACTTTAACCCCTGTGCCTTGAAGCGAACCCTAAAGAAAGTGAGCTGCAGGACCTGAGCAGGCTGTTCGGCTACGTCAGCCACGGAACCGTCTCACGGCGGCATTGCTTTGGGGTTGTAGACTTGCTTAGGTTCCTTTTAGGCCAGGGTCTCGGGGTTTAGGGTATAGGGTGGAGCAGTTTAAGTTTGCGGTCCAGGTCAAATTACGGTCCAGGTCGAGGGGGGTGCAAGGTCCCGGGTCTACTGTTGGGTTCTATGATGGTTTAGGATCTAGGTGTTGACGGTCTTGCGTCAATTGACCGAAGGTTCGGGGTTTAGGTTTCTGGTGTTTAGCGGGGGGTCATGGTTTGGGAATATGGGATTCCATTTATTACGTTGTAGATCTTGAGAAAGTTCGTTTATAAAAGGTACTGTTAACGGGGCCCTCCCTGCCAGACTCCCTCCCTCCTTCCCTCCCTCCTTCCCTCACTCCTTCCATCCCTCCTTCCATCCCTCCCTCCCTCTCCCTCTCCTTTGAGATGTAAGGGTTGAGGCGACGGACCCTGTAGTAACTGATATCCTTTGGAGCCCCCCGTGCAAAAGCTACGATAAACTCATTAAGACACTGGGTAGGCATTCATGTCACTATGCAAACCTCAGACCTACAAACACAAAGTCCCTCTGCAGACCCACTAAATGAGCCCTTCATGGAGCTTACAAACATACAAAGCACTTCAGGGCACGATGGTTATCTTCGGCAGCCGCGACGTCTTTACACGGAAGTGGTGTCTGGGTGCCTCGGCCGGTGATACTACCGAAGAGGATAATGGGGTTTGGAAGGATACAATAATGGGACTCTTCAAAGCGCTCGTTGTTTTCGTAAGGTACCGTAAGGTTGATAAGGTTTGAGGTTTGCAGGCCGATGATATGAGGGTTTAGGGCTTCTGTGCAATTAGAGTTGGGTAAGATGCCCCTACACCCTATAATTTACCCCTAAAGCCGTAAACTGAGGGGCTCAGCATCTGTAGTGCTCTACCGAGCCCATTTAACAGGGTAGAAAGACCCACATATTCTGCTTCGAGGAGCCTGTGTTAAACTCTCTACAGTCTTGGAAACACCTCTACAGATCCTTTGAACCCTAAACCCTAAACCCTAAACCCTACTCTCGTCAGACCTCTTCTAAAAAAATATGCGAGCCCAGAGTCCTAAACCTTACCCTCAGGGTCCAAGTACCCAATAACTTAGGTAGTGAACGGGGGAACTTTAAACTTTTTGGCCTTGTATGTTCGCTCTATCTTCCAAAGTTTGAACTTTTGGGGGCCCGGCTGTTGAAGAAGAGTGATAATCATATACTCTCCCAAATCCTAACCTACATAACTACTTATTGGGTCCTTTGGACCCTTGCTTGGAGGGTCGGGGGACTTAGTAAGTAGGTAGTAAGTAGACTTAGAAGTACCCTAAAAGGGGCCCTAATTGGGGTTATGGTACTTATAAGTCCCCAAAATAACCAGTTACTAAGTCCCCCGACCCTCCAAGTGGGGTTATATAAACCCCAGAAAAACAGGCGAGATCGTGACGGCCCGGATACACGAAGTCCAGACGGCTGCTGGGATGCAAGATCCGCGGGGGTGTGGGGGTTCCTTCAACTCGTTCCTTTAAGGGTGCTATAAGGGTTCCTTCAAAGCGTTCCTTTAAGGGTGCTATAAGGGTTCCATTAAGGGTTCCCTCAAGGGTTCCTTTGAAGGTGCTATAAGGCGTTTCGGGTTTGGTTTCGGTTTACGGTTTAAGGCTTCAGGTCTTAAGTTCTAGAGTTAGTTCCTTCGCAAGGGCTTATTGGTGGTGTTCGAGTGGTCTCAAGAGAGGAAGGGTGTGCTTAGTCTTTTGTTGCTTGTCTACGCGTTTTTTCGGTTTGTGCGTTCTTGATTTTGCTCTCCTCTAAGAGAGTTGCTTGGGTGCGCTGTGGGGTTCATATGGGAGTTTCCGAGACTCGAGGGCCCTAATGTAGTACCACAAATAGTAGGATCCTTATGATGAGGACCCAAAGATAAGGTACCCCTAACTTTCGGAAACTACCCTTTGGGAAGGGAGTGGCTGAGGCTCCTGGCAGTCGGCTGCAGGGGTATGAAGGTGTCTGGTGGTGGAGGGCCCTATCCCAAGGCTCCTAACAGGATCCTGGGCCTTGTGGGGGAGGGGTTTCGGCTTTGGGGCGGAGTCTTCGGGTAAACCCTAAACTTTTCAGTTTTGGCGGTGGAGGGAGGTCCTCTAGTTCAGAATCGCTTAATAAAGTTTACATCTCAGAGGTTTAAAGAGACTGATCTCTTAGTCCCCAAGGTGTTGGAGTTGTTTAAGACGCTTGTTGGCCCAACTATTTAGGAGTTTCCGAAAATTAGGGATACCTTCTTTTGTGATCCTTATGATAAGGATCCTACTATTTGGGGGGTCCCCCATTTTCGGAAACTCCCATTTCATGAAGAATGTAGGCATACACTCCAGTCTTCGAGGGCTCATTTGTCAAGGCTATGGGGCCTAAAGACGGGTGGTTGTCAATATTAGTACGGTTTAGGGTTTAGGGGTTTAGGGTTTAGGGTTTAATATTAGGGTCCCTTTTTGGGTCCTCATTGTAATACGGCACCTAATATTTAGGGTACCCACAAAGGGACCATAATTTGGACAACCACCCAGATCTTGCCGCAGAGTCTGCAGAGAACGCCACTGTAAGCCTAAGGGTTACAAGTTGTCCTAGTAGTAGAGTACGTAACCTTTAACCTTTTTTGGGTAGTATAGCCCCTATTTATAATCCCTATATTACCAACAAGGTTATCCTTTAGTTCCCCATGATACTTGTCGGGTTGTACGGTAGATGCTTCTTTGGGTAATCAGACCAGTCTTTATGTGGGTGGTTCTCAAACTTATGGTCCTTTCCTAGGTACTCTAAAAATTAGGTGCCGTACGATACCAGGGATCCAAAAAGGGACCGTACTTCTGACAACCACCCATGTAGCACCAAGCGGGTGAAGCCGAACAAGAACTGCTACCGAGACTATAGCAGGCCGGTATGCTTTAGAAGGGGCCCCGATCCTGTAATAGTGGTATAATAATAGGAATGTATTAAGGCCCTATTATATTCCTATTATACCACTATTACAGGGTGGGGGCAGCTTCTAAGGTATGCCCCTGAAAGTCGCTCCATGTCTCACTGAGCTTTTCAGTGGAGTCTCTGCACCTCCGAACGGGTCGTCTATACTGTCATGGGGATACCTTCCCAAATCATAATAGTATTTTTTTGTGATAGTAGCCCTACGTTCTACCACATAGGTGCGTAGGACCCATTGGCACAGGTTCTGCTGAGTTTTCCTGGCTTTACTGCGCCGGACAAGGAAGCGACGGTTGTGCGATTTAGGGTCTGCTGAGTTTCCAAGCCATACTAGGAATAGGGTTTTGGGTCATAGTATGCCCTAAACCCGACTTTAACCCGGAAGAACCTACCGTTTTCAGGACTTATATAAGGAATTCAAAAAAAGGAACCTTAAAAATGTAGGTTCTTTAGGCTCCAGGTAAACCCTAAAGGTAGAAGCTCGATACCAAGGAACTCCTCGGACTGGCATAGGCAACTACGTGGTAGGGTTTAGGGTTTAGGGTTTAGGGTTTAGGGTTTTGGTTTCGTGGGCCCTTCTATTACTCTACATGTCCAGGGTTTAATTTCGGAGTGTCTGAACATAGGGGTGCCTTATTTTGGGTCCTTATAAGGAGGATCCTACTATTTAGGGTACTATATGAGGGTCCCCTATTTTGGGAAACTCCCTAAACCCTAAACCCTTCATGGAACCCTTATAGATTACAGATCCCTTCAAGGAGCCCTTTAGAGGAACCCTTAAAGGGTCCCCTAGTTTCGGAAACTCCCAGCTGCGGGCCGGGACAGATCGGACTGTTCCCTGCGCTTCCCCACATCGGCGGTTGTCAAAACGATGGATCTCTAGGGTTCCTTTAAAGGGGGTTCTATAAGGGCCCCAAGGTTTTTTTTTCCGGCTTCTGTACGGGTCTTAGATGTTTAAATCGCTGCGTTTTCAAATCGCTGCGTTTTGGATTCGGCCAAATCGCGCGATTTGGATGGGTATGTTATAGAGTATAGAGGGTATAAAGTAGAAGTTGCCCACATTGTAATTTCCCTCAAATCTCAATGATTTTTGGCGAACCCCATAAAATCATCTAGCCACGGCTGGAGTCTGGAGCGGAGCTGGACTACTACATCTTTTCGCGAAGGTCCGGCCCTCAGTCTCTGGCAGAGAGAAACTTCGCAAGGCTTTGCCCCGATTGATGCTGGGGACATGTCGCAGAGTGGAAGTGACGCATTGTCGATCTCAACATCTTTGTCGTTGGCAGAGCATTTGGCTCAGAGTATGAGCGATGGCGCCGAAAAAGAGAAAGTCTCTCGCAACGGGAGACGGAGAGCAAGCTGAAGCGGAAACCAAGATTCCAGATGACATCTTGGCAGAGCTTCGCAACATTGGACATGAGGTTGACTCTGCAGACCTCGTGCTGCCCATGAATCTTCGCGGGGTGACTGCAACTGCGGTTGCCATTCTGGAGTCTCGCTTTGTGCGCATCCGTAGCCGCAAGTTTCAGAAGATACGGCTTGTCTGTAGGCGGTGTTCTTGGTCTTCAACAGCAACCGGGGTGTGCAGGGGAGTCGAGCATGCCGTGCATTTTGCGAACCCCAATGCCTCAGATGTCCACAAGTATTTGGAGTCTCGCGAGCTTGACTATGATGAGAAGAGAGCAAAGGCTCTGGCAAAATACAAGGATGGTGGCAGCAGGACCAATGCCTGCAGCAACCCGAGCCATGTGACTCAGCAAGAGTTGAAGGTCTTGAACGCGCAGAAGAATCCGGCGGCTCAGCTTTGGTGGGAGCTTCTCAAAACTCCGGAGTCGCGAGCAATGCTTCCCGGTGATGCGCAGCCTCGGCCTGTGCTGGATCAAGAAGGTCTTGAGAGACTACACGCTTTGAGCATCTTTCACAGTCACCAGTCCTTTATGTCCGTGGAAAACGACATGACAAAGCTGTTTTTCAAGAACCTGGCGCCTAACTACAAATGCCCAACCCGGTTTAAAGTTCGAGATGTTTTGGATTCCACAGCGGCGGAGATGGAGGAATTTCAGAAGAAGCTTCTACTGAAGGGTCCTTTTTGTCTTTGCACCGATGGCGCGACGATTGCTGGCCTCGGCTTTTTGAACGTCGGCATCATGGATTCCAGCGGCATGTGCCTGGGTGCAAAGATTTAGAGATAATGTGAATGCCCGAACCCTCAAACCTGAGCCCAAGAGCCTGTCCAGCTTGGAAGGTGCTTCCATTTGGACCACATTTCGATGATTGATCGCGAGAGTACGGCGATTGGATTGGCTGAAGTGCTTCGGCCATGGACACGCCACAAAAGCGTGTTCGGAATCTGCGCGGACAATGCGGCCAACATTCAGGCCAATTCCGGTGTTGAAAGCCTTGGCAGGATTTATCCCAGTTGAAGCGCATCGAGGGCTGTGTGATTTTTCCAGAGGTGGCAAAATTCATTTGCAAACGAAACAAGCTCTGAATGTCAGAATGATTTTTGCACGGGTGTCGAAAATCATTTTGGTCGCTCTTACTTGCCTGGACTTGCAGGCCGCACTTGCCATCCTGGCTGCCGAGCGTGCAGACTTTGCGGTCCCTCTACGCTGCATGGAGCACGGCATGCAGCTATTACTCAAAGACGTGCGAGCTGCGATGCCATGGTTGGAAAAGGCCACCAAGGAGGTCAATGCTGCAATCCGCACGGTGCGCCGCTCCAAGAAGTTTTTCGGGAAACTCAAGGCCGGCAAAGACCTTCTTTATAAGACCGTCTTTATTCCGATGTATGGCTTCGGCCGGTATAGTAAGTACAGTGGATGAACCTTTCAAAACATATTCGGTTTTGCTTCATGCCGTCGGGACGCAGTTCTCCCAGCCACTTGATTCCAGCATTCCTCGCCAGGCTTCTGGATTGGTTCTCCAACACCGGCGAAAAACTCGCCACAACTCGTGGTCCACGATGGCCGTCAGATGGGTACAACACCGGGCAAAAGTTGCCGAGCTACTTCGCAAGGAGGGCGGCCCTGAGAAGCTTGGACACTCGGTCAAGCAGCGCAACAAGCTGCAGAGGGCTTTGTTGGCGCTTGAACGCCGCGGTCTTGAAGCCCGCGTCCGACGTGCCGTGCCAGTCTTGTGGGCGGTGACCTCCGCCTCCAAGCTCTTCGCTTGCGGCAGACTACCTGAGGCGCTTGGCGTTTGGACCCTTTTGAAGACTCGCCTCAACGAGGCCCTGGAGACGTGCGACTTCAGAGACACCGGCGAGAACAGTGGAACGGTCGCTCTCCGGAAGAAGGCGGTTCTAGATGTTTATGGGCGAAGGCGAGAGCAATTTGTCACAGACATAGTGCTTGCGAGCGCCGTGTTTGACCCACGCCCTCTTTCTGGTCTTGAAGAGCCGGATCACATGCATGCAGCTTTTGTGATGGCACGAAGGCTTCTACCCACGAAGTTTTTCGACTCGACCGAGGTTCAGGAGGCATGTGTGTCCGACTTGGACGACTACCGCGCGAAGAAAGGCTTGTTCAGGGACGCGGAGTTCCCACACTCGGATGCACCGCTGGCAGAGGTGCTGGGGTTGGGGGAGCGAAAATGATTTTCTAAGGGCAGATTAAAATCATTTTGGCTCTCGCTTGCCCAACCCGCGCAGGTAATCACGTGGTGGAAAAGTGGACAACCTTCAAAGCCTTTGGCTGTCATGGCTGAGAAGTTCTGGTCGTGCGCAACTTCGCAAGGGCAATGCGAACGCTACTGGGCGCTTGCCAACAGGGATCGCTGTCCGATCCGGAATCGTCTTGGCATTGACACGCAGAGCAAGCTGCAGAGTGTCTCAATCAATCTCTGGGCCGTGGTGCCCGACATGCCCGAGCCCGTGCCCCCCAGCATGTCTGGCTGCCTCAGTTTCACCAAGCTTTCCGCAACACCTTCTCGCGGGGTCTGCGGGGTGCAGTCAATCATTAAGCGAGATGCTCGGCAAGAGGTGCAGGATGCATTTCCAGAGGAAGATGAACTGTCCTTAGCCTCGTCCTCTTCAAGCAGTTCCGATTCCGATGATTAGTTATAGAGCCGAGGACGTCTGTTTTGCAGCTGTGACGACGCGCGCAGCATCAGGGGTGGGAAGATTGCAAGTGCAACTATTCCAATGAATGCTTCAATACTGTCTTCCGCAAGCGTCTGCAATGCAACATATCTTTCACTCATGCAAACTTCCCAAGCAGCCGGCTAGTCTGCCTTGACACATGGCAACTTCGGGTGCCGGGTGCAGTCGGGAGGGATGAACCAGTCGGCAGAACTGGAAAACTCTTCATGTGCATGTGCTCGCTGAACGGTCCGATGCTCACCTAGCTGTCCATTTGCCGAGGTCGTCTTCCCACCCGTCCATCGTGACACTGTCGTGCCAAGGCGTGCCGGGGACCCAACTTCTGAGTTTCCAGGCCTTGGCAGTACTGGCTGGGTGCTACGAAACTTGGAATGATTTTTGCAGAACTGGCAAAAATCATTGAGGTGATGCTTCGGATTAGGATTCATAGGATAAGTACTTGGAGGTTCATAAGTAGGGTTACAATAAGGATAGCTATACTTATAACTTATAACTCATATTGGGGACTTATAACCACACTTATAACTACCCATGAACCTCCAAGTAGGTTTTCCTGATACACGTAAATGTCAAGGCTTTTTGGGCATGGTCCTTGTACTTGAAGGAATCGCTGCGATTTGCAGCGATTTTTTGGCGATTCCTTGCGCAGTAAGTCGAAGTCAGGTTCCAGGATTTGGGATGCCTTATGCTGTGGCAGAGGGATCGTCAGTGCACGCCGTGTTCCCTTGTTCAATATCCATTCTCCGCGTGTTTCTTAGCGCTGGGTTTGGGCACGAGGGAAGCTGGCATTCCTTCGCGTCAGCAACAAAAGAGGCCGTGATTCTTAATGATTTTTCCGTGCTTGGAAAAATCATTCCGGGATTTGTTCTTCAGGTTGGGAGTTCTGGGCAGCAGTCGAGAGTCCGTTGTGTTGATTTCAACCGTCTGGTCGGCCTTGACTTCTGGCAACTTCGGGTGCAGTCGGGAGGGATGAACTAGTCGGCAGAACTGGAGAACTCTTCATGTGCATGTGCTCGCTGAACGGTCCGATGCTCACCTAGCTGTCCAATTAATTGCCGAGGTCGTCTTCCCACCGGTCCATCGTGACACTGTTGTGCCAAAGCATGCCGGGGACCCAACTTCTGAGTTTCCAGGCCTTGGCAGTACTGGCTGGGTGCTACGAAACTTAGAATGATTTTTGC